GTGTTTTGGTTTGGAACAAAATCCAAGATGAAGACTCCGTGCTTCTAGATTGCTCGACCGATGAAGAGGGCGCCCTTTCCGTGGTATAGCCGGAACTCGCGGTCGAAGCTATCGCACTCCAGGCGAATGCCCTTAGACATGAGTTGACTGACGCTGAGCAGGTTGTAGCTCAGGTTTTCGACGACGAGAACCCTTCACATCTGTAACACCACGCTTGTTTCGAGATATTGCAATTGAACAACTCCCTCTTTTCGTGTGCACAAGTTCTGGTTGTTGGCAACGGTGATCACGACTTCTTGGCTCAATGTCTTTTCTCGCTGGACGAAGTATGCCAAGGAACATATGTGGGCCACAACTGCTGTCAAGAAACCAAGTGTCGCGACCAGATGATTCGTTGCAAGCTATCACAATGTAAGTCGGGTTCAGTTGGAGCCGGATCTGTGTCGGAGCGGGTGGATGCTCGTCGAGGTCGCGGTGAGGCGAAGTGTTAGGTATGCAGTAGGCAGTGCGCTCCATGCAGCTAATGATGTTCCGTGCATCTTGTGCAGATCAGTTCGTCGAAACTGGCGGGCGTTGCTGTGTTGAAGCGACCGGACTTGGGGATGAACGTGGCACGCAGGGCTGATACCGCGGCTGCTGGTGTTGGCACTGCTGTTGTCTTGGGGTAGTTTAAGCGCAAGTGACCGGACGTGCGGCAGAGATGATAGTACGAAGGTGAGTGTCATTTCTGATGTACATTGTTGTTGCGCCTGTGCGAGTAAAATGCAAGTTGTTGACTTGGTTTCTTGCCGTGGCTCTCTTCGTACATGTCCATGTCTTGCTACTTGGCGTAGATCTCCATGCACAAGTGCATCTCGGATATTCACTCGTGAGCTCGTAGGAGGGAGCACGTCGTACGCCATTGAGGACTGAGGCCAGCGAGAACAACCATGACAAAGGAGTTCTCCGATAAGTGCCCGTCGCTCCGTAAGAGTCTGTCGCGTAATCCTTTGCAACGATTGATATACTGTAAGCCATAGCCTTCTCTCTTGCTTGCATTTGAATCATTGTTAGTTGCGACATCAATCGGCTTTGAGTTACACTATGAGAGACTTGGTAGACACTCTTCAGGTGACAGTAGGAGAGCTCAGCCGAGTTTCCGATGGTGCGATATGTACGAATGCTCTGTTGCTCTATCGGTGTCAGGTTGCGCAGAAGGATGTTGAAGGCAATCAGCGACTTATAAGTGTAAACTTTCTTTTCTTGAATAGTCCCAGTGACAGGGAATGCCCAAGAGCCAGTGAAGTAACCGAGGATCTGCACGCCGTCCATCAGCAGCTCGAATTCAAAACTCCAGGTAAAGAAGTCCTTACGATTGAAGGGAAAAGATGTCTGTAGCTTGAGTATGTTGTTGAACTGCTGCTGCATGTGGAGAATGTCAGTCGGTTTGTCGCTTGCTTCTGAATCCATTGCTGTCGCAGGAGTTGGCAGAAAAGTGAAGGAGCCAGGCGAAGGCTGGTAAGATTGATGTTGAGTAGGTTGGTTGCCTCTTCCATATGATGAGCCGTCGAGGCTCATCGGTACTGCGCCACTGACGCTGTTACTGTGTGTTGACTGATCAGGTACTCAAGGCTGCTCATAGTGCGACATGAAGGAGAAGAACTTCTCCACGAGGGCCGGGTCAATGCCCTGGGAGGAAGCCACTGGATGTGTGGAGGTTCCTGTAGTTGCACCATGCGTAGCGTCTTGATGAGTGCCTGCCTCAGTCTGTAGGTCAGAGACTGGAGGTGCAGATGGCTCGTAGACAAGAGATCCAGTAGAGGATCCTCCCCCCTTGGAGGGTGCCATGTCTTGTAATTCTTCATTTAATGAGACTGGAGTTGTTGCGGGTGATTCTGTAGCCAAGTTAGAAACTCACTGAGGGAGTTTGTAACGGGAACACAGTTTTTGACTAGCTCTCACACCATGCTGGGCTGAGAAAAGCCCTAGGATCTTTTCAAAAGACTAAGTCCTTATAATAGATTGCTTGACAGCAGAGCGAAAGTCTTGATGAACCCTTGTACTGGTATGTGAGAACAAGTGATTGATTATAGCAAAGGGATACAAGGTTTGTATAATTATACAAGAGAATATGAAGAGTCTAACTATTTGTGCACTTCGAGGGGTACATTCCCTTTACGACTCGATAAGGGCGACTCGGGTAACCACCCGTGATGTAATACCGGGACGTTTATTTATCCTTGTTGTCGCGCTGACTTGACTCTTGTTCTTCTGACTGTTGGGTTGCACAGTCAACGGTATGTGATCGTTGCCCTTTCGTAACCTCTGCGAAGTGTCGTCACACTGCGTCAACCAACAGAGGTACTATAGCAGGCTTTAACTCGGTAATCCTCGATGTTGTGTCATTCGCGTATTGTTAGAATGCGATACTCCTGAAATGCCTTAAACCCTTTTATCGTTTCCAACACCCTCGTTCATTTCTGGAGTGTCAACGTGGCCTAAACCCGAAACCCTAAGTCTTTTTATCATTTCCAACAAGGTTAACATTGCCTAACGAAAAAAAAAAAATCCTCGCTAGTCTTGGGAAACATTCGAATGAGCTGAATGTGGGATTTGTGTACTACAAATTCCTCGTTCTCCCAAGGCCCCTGTGTACCCCCTGCCCCGCAATTTCATTCCCCCCCGTCCTGCCTGTTCGTTTTTCCGCGCTCACATCATACGTTCCCCACCTCACAATATTGTTTTCCCCCCGCCCCACAATTTCGAATGTTTACACATTCATTCCCCTCTCGGTGTCATCTCTCCCCCGCCCCTTGTCTTTCTCCCGCCCTGCGATTCTCCCCTTGTGATTTCATTTGGGTCAGTTGCTCCTGCAGTCAAATTAGTGGGGCAAGCATTTTCTTTTGCCGTCAACAAGTATGATCACTAATTTGGAGCTTCCATGGAGGTCCGGGGCCCAAACAAGCAACCGAGCCTCTCCAACCTGTCATTTCCACCACCCAATTTCTGCCATTTGGCGAAACGATTTCATTTTTTTCAGGCTAGATTTGGTACGTAAAATACGAAGATCTGGCTGCCTTGGGAAAATAAAATAAAACCCATAAGGACCCGCATGCCATTGCAGGATGGGTAAACCCTAAAATTGCGAATGAATCTATCTTACAACGAGGCTCAACTGCCTCGGTAGGTTTTGAACTTATGAAAATGCGCCATGTCAGCTTGATGGCAGAAGAAACTATATTCCCCATTAAGTTGATTGCAGGAGCTAAAATCCCATTTCATTTCCCTCCAAGGTAGAATCGTATGCCCCCCTTATTAGAGTAGGGGGAAAAAGTGTGACTAGGAAGAGGGGAGGGGAGATACAAGTACAATAATATTGTCCCCTCTAAGAACTGACCTAGCTAGGCTATAACAAACATATATAAACTAACTAGATATGTGTAGATAGAACAATATGTTTGTTGACACACCCCCTAGCCTAGGTAGTGGCAGAGTTTAACAAACCAGGGCAACACTACTAGTCTGGCCTCTGGTGAAGGTAACAAGACAACTTAGGGCAACACTGCTAGTCTAACCACTAAGACAAGAGGCCACAAGGACATGCAGTAGGTGTAGCAAGGAGTGGCCCTGCTACTGAGACAAGACCAAGCTGAGTATAGAACCGCTGATGGTCATGAGGCGGTAGTGCCTTGGTGAAGATATCAGTGGTGTTGGCCTCTATGGCCATGTGTACTACTCGAGCCTGGCCGCGCTGCTGCATATTACGCTGAAGGAGTAGGGAGACTCAAGAGCATCTGGGTCGCCCTCTTGGGATACAAGCATGGAGCAGAGATAGGGAACATCGGCAGCAAGGTAGGCCAACTCGTACTGCCTGTCCTCTAGCACATCATTGCCAAGGGCAGGTGCACCCCCGACAGACGGAGGACGAGCAGTACCAGAGACAAGAGTGACAGCGTAGTCAAGGCGGTGGCTAGCAGCAGAGTCAACGACAGCAGCGACAAGCGCAGAGACTGTTTTAGAAGGAGCAGTAGGGTCAGTGACAAGCGACGCAAGCAAGCGCGAGAGGGTAGGACGAGCAGTGCGAGCAGTGTCGGAGCAAGGAGGGGGGGACGACGGGAGCGACAACGGGGGAGGCAACGGGAGGACTGTGACTGGAGGAGCATGCGAACGAATAACCATAGTGTGGACACAAGGACAGGGGGAGATAGGACGAGCACCAGAGGGGCGACGGACCCAGTGGGGAAGAACTGGGGATTGGGGACGAAGGGGAACAGGGAACAAGTCAGAGGATGGAGGGGAGTGCCAATGAAAACGAGCCGGAGGGGAGTGCGGAGAAGGGAACAACGGGCTGTAAATAGGGCCACGCACCAGAGGGGGAACGGGCGGGCGGACAGGGGAACTTGGAGCAAGACCAAGGAGACGAAGGGCAGACTGCGGCTGCTCCTGCTGCGGCGGCTGCGCCTGCTGCTGCGGCTGCGCCTGCTGCTGCGGCTGCAACCGCTCCCTGTCCTCTCCAGGACCTCCTGCGGCATCGCGGCTGCCAACGACACTCCCCGAAACAGCACCCCCAAGACTAGCACCCTCGGACGCACCACCCACAGAACCAGCACCCCCAAAACTCGCACCCGCAGAACCAACACCCTTAACACCAACGAGGAGGAGTAGGGAGCAAACGAGGAGGAAGTATGCGCGAGAGGAGCTACTAGGAGCAGCACGCCGAGGAGCTAGCTAGGAGTCACTAGGATTGGCGGCACAGGGCGAATGATAGTCCACAGGTCACAGGGAATGATAGCCCCCCCCCCCCCCCCCCCCCCCCAGCAATTTTGACTGTTTACATCCCTCCCCGCAATTGTCCCATGTGACTAAGTGCGCGAGGCTACGAACCAATCAAAATTTCTCGCAGTTTACCTCTTGCTTGCCAACCCCGCCAACCAAGGATCTGCAACAGTGTTCCTTCCCCAAGGATCTCAAGGGCAACCCCAACGTGCCTCTTGACAGGTTGAAACCTGAAGGCACTGAAACCGCCTCCTATAACACATAAAAAAAAAAAGAACGATGGTATGGCGTGTCAAAATCAATGGGAATTCTACCATGCTGGTAACTAGTTCAAAAGCAAGCCAAGCATATGGAATGCCGCCACTGGCATTTTCCATGCCAAAACAATCAGCTACAGAACGTGCCTGCTTATAGACTGCGCCTCATCCACAGCCGCCTGCAGTCTCTACCACACCTCCCCTGTGATACACCCTAGATGCTAAATCAGTAGAGATTGCCGTAGACTCCAACAATAATTTCTTATTTTGACTCCAAAAAGCAGCATGCCATCATCTGCAGCACCCATCCGCCTGTCGCCTGTGGGCTTCATCCACTGCCACCTGCAGTCGCTGCCGCACCTCCCCGGTGATGAAGGCGTACAGCCTCCTGGTTGCCTCATCCTTCACCGCACTGCTCCCCCCTGTCACACTGCTGCCTGGCACCTCAATGGCTGTAGCGCCACTGGATGTAGCAGCAGAGGTTGGAGGAACAGCATCAGCCGAACCAGCAGGAGCAGCAGGAGCAGCACCAGCAGTATCAGCACCAGCAGATGCACCAGAAGGAGCAGCAGCAGCAGCAGCAGCGGGGGGGACGGAAGCAGGAGGCGTGGAGTCCGCCCCAAAGGCAGACTCGTCCGGGTGGGCAGCAGCATGGCTTGCAGCGGCTCTGAGCGCGCCCATGTGGAACTGGAAGGGCTCCCCCACCACCACGGCTATGCGCTGCCCCCACAGAGGCGCGATGGCCCTGTGGCCAAAGGCGCGCGGCTCAGGCATCACCTGGGGATGTGGGAGAGAGCGGGGACAGAGTGAGTGAGAGAGGGAGTGAGTGAGAAAGTGAGTGAGAGAGGGAGTGAGTGAGGGAGGGAGTGAGTGAGAGAGGGAGTGAATGAGAAAGTGAGTAAGTGAGTGAGAGAGGGAGTGAGTGAGAGAGGGAGTGAATGAGAGAGTGAATGAGAGAGGGGTCCAGCACCCATATGAAACTGGAAGGGCTCCCCCACCACCACGGCTATGCGCTGTCCCCACAGCGGCGCAATGGCCCTGTGGCCAAAGGCGCGCAGCTCAGGCATCACCTGGGGATGTGGGAGAGAGCGGGGACAGAGTGAGTGCGAGAGGGAGTAAGTGAGGGAGTGAGTTAGAGAGGAGAGGCCTGCACCCATGTGGAACTGGAAGGGCTCCCCCACCACCACAGCTCTATGCTGCCCCAGAAGCAGCGCGATGGCCCAGTGGCCAAAGGCACAGGAGAGGTGCCAGGTGGCTGACAGACGCCAGGCCCCCCACACAAGGGAGTCACGCCGTGCCACATGCACCAAATAGGAAAGCACAAGCCCCACATGCACCATAAGCCGCTTTGATGAGCCACACTGAGGAAAGCACGTGGGTGGCGCAGGGGGTGGTGGCAGGCACTGGTGGATGAGAGAAGTGAACGAAGGAAGGCAGAACCCCTTTGACCGGGTTGAATCCGTGCCATGCCATGTGTGCTCGTGTCACACATGCCACATTGCATCAACCATACGGGCGCACTCACGTTTTCAAAGCCGCTGTGCACCGCACAGAGGATGACCAGAGGCACCGGGGAGGTGCAGTGGTCGATGACAGACGCCAGGCCCCACTAAAGGTGAGAAGGCCAACCCATGCCATCAAGCCACACATGCTCGTTTCACACATATTGCAAGTGCTGCACTCACGTTTTCAAACCCGCTGTGTGCGACACGGAGGATGGCAGGTGGCACAGGGGAGGTGCAGCGGTTGATGACAGACACCAGGCCCCACTTGGGTAGCCACACTTACATTCTCAAACCCGCTGTGTGCCACACAGAGGATAACAGGTGGCACCGGGGAGGTGCAGCGGTCAATGACAGACGCCAGGCCCCACTTGAGGCGCGCCAATGCCACGTGCTCCTGGGTGATCCGGCCCTCGGGGAATATGTGCAGCTGGTGTATGTGGGTTGGAGGGGATTTGAGGGTAGGCATTAGGGAGGGAGGCGTGGGGTGCCAATGCCACGTGCTCCTGGGTGATCCTGCCCTAGGGGAAGATATGCAGCTGGTGTATGTGGGGGGGGGGGGGAGAAGGGATTGCGGGGTGGAGGGGCAATGCAACATGCTCCTGGGTGATCCTGCCCTAGGGGAAGATATGCAGCTGGTGTATGTGGGGGGGGGGGGGAGAAGGGATTGCGGGGTGGAGAGGCAATGCCTCATGCTCCTGGGTGATCCTGCCCTAGGGGAAGATATGCAGCTGCCGGCGGTGTAGAGGGGGAGACAAAAAGGGGGCGGGGGAAGTGGGAGGATTGGGGATGGAGGATTGGGGATGGAGGATTGGGGATGGAGGATTGGAGATGGAGGTTTGGGGATGGAGGATTGGGGATGGAGGATTGGAGATGGAGGATTGGAGATGGAGGATTGGGGATGGAGGATTGGAGATGGAGGATTGGGGATGGAGGATTGGGGATGGAGGATTGGAGATGGAGGATTGGAGATGGAGGATTGGAGATGGAGGATTGGGGATGGAGGATTGGGGATGGAGGATTGGAGATGGAGGATTGGAGATGGAGGATTGGGGATGGAGGATTGGAGATGGAGGATTGGGGATGGAGGATTGGAGATGGAGGATTGGGGATGGAGGATTGGGGATGGAGGATTGGAGATGGAGGATTGGGGATGGAGGATTGGGGATGGAGGAGTGGAGTGCCCATGCCATGTGCTCTTAATTAATCCTCTCGCCCTTGGGGAAAATGTGCAGCTGGGGGGAGGGGAGGGGGGTGGGGTGCGGGGCAGAAAAGGGGAAGTATTGGGAAGAGAGGGGTGGAAAGGAGTTGGATTCGATCTGCAGCAAGCCTGCTAAGAGGCGTGGAGTGAGTGCCCCCATCTTCGACCACTTCATCCTCCTCCGTAGTCCTTTTCCTTTCTGTGTTGCTCTCTTCCTCATTCGCCCTCTCCTCACCCTAATACCTTCATCTCAACTCAAACAAAACTCAATCTCCAAGCCCCGTCAACCCTCCCAGTGAACCGCCCACACCCCTGGCAATCACCCATCTACGTGCCCCGCGTTCAGCCGTGAACAGCGGAGGCTGTGCCTCTGAAAAGCTTTTGAGTGGACTAAAAAACCCCATCCGCCCGCACCCAGCCGCTGAACAGACTCTGTCACTCCGCCCTGGTCTTCCTTCCTGCACCCCTCTCAGCTTACTCCTCCCCCTCGCCCCTGCTTTCCCCAGCCCTTAACCCCCACCACCTCCCAAACCCCCTCCACTCACGCACCCATCCGCCTGCCCTCAACCACTGAACAGACTCCACGAATCTTCTCATACTCTCCCCACTCTCTTACCCAACCCCCCACACCCCTGGCACCCACCCAGCCACCATGCTCGACCACTGAACGCCCATTGTCATCCTGCCCTGACATTCTCTTCTACTGCCATCGACACAACTTTTGAGTCAACTTGATTGTCAGCTGCTGAACGGCCTCCGTCATCCCCTCCTGATATCATTCTCTCCTTCCATCAACAGCCCCCTCCACCCCCCTCTCTCCTCGCTCCCCCCTCTCTCCTCGCTCCCCCCTCTCTCCTCGCTCCCCCCTCTCTCCTCGCTCCCCCCTCTCTCCTCGCTCCCCCCTCTCTCCTCGCTCCCCCCTCTCTCCTCGCTCCCCCTCTCTCCTCGCTCCCCCCTCTCTCCTCGCTCCCCCCTCTCTCCTCGCTCCCCCCTCTCTCCTCGCTCCCCCTCTCTCCTCGCTCCCCCCTCTCTCCTCGCTCCCCCTCTCTCCTCGCTCCCCCCTCTCTCCTCGCTCCCCCTCTCTCCTCGCTCCCCTCTCTCCTCGCTCCCCCCTCTCTCCTCGCTCCCCCTCTCTCCTCGCTCCCCCCTCTCTCCTCGCTCCCCCCTCTCTCCTCGCTCCCCCCTCTCTCCTCGCTCCCCCCTCTCTCCTCGCTCCCCCCTCTCTCCTCGCTCCCCCTCTCTCCTCGCTCCCCCCTCTCTCCTCGCTCCCCCCTCTCTCCTCGCTCCCCCTCTCTCCTCGCTCCCCCCTCTCTCCTCGCTCCCCCCTCTCTCCTCGCTCCCCCTCTCTCTCCTCGCTCCCCCCTCTCTCCTCGCTCCCCCTCTCTCTCCTCGCTCCCCCTCTCTCCTCGCTCCCCCCTCTCTCCTCGCTCCCCCCTCTCTCCTCGCTCCCACCTCTCTCCTCGTTCCCCCCTCTCTCCTCGTTCCCCCCTCTCTCCTCGCTCTCCCCTCTCTCCCAAACCCCTGCACGGCACTCACCCAGCCACCAGCGCTCAGCCGCTGAACCGCCTCTGTCATGCCGTCCTGGGAAAGGGCTCCTGAGTTTTATCAACACACACGCAACTCTAGGTGTATTTTGAGTCGACTCAAAATACACACGCAACTCTCCCCCCTATCCCCCAACTCGCCCCCCATGCAACTCACCCAGCCACCAGCGCTCAGCCGCTGCACCGCCTCTGTCATGCCGTCCTGGTAGATGCCCCCGTAGCGGTCGATGGGGATGCACTTGGCTGAGGGAGAGAAGGAAGGGGGGGGGAAACAGAAGGAGGGGAAGAGAGGGGGGGGGGGGTGGTGGGGGTAGTGGGGGGGATGGAGGGCGAGCGGGAAACGAACATCAGGCTCCCCAAGCCTGCAGGGTACCCTGCAAGCTCAAGGACTTCATTATCCTCGGTTTGTTACAGCTTGGAAATTGCCGGGAAACGAACATCAGGCGCCCCGAGCCTCTACCGTTCCGTCCTGGTAGGTGCCCCCGTAGCGGTCGATGGGGAAGGGGGGGGAAGGAGGGGGGAAGCGTTCTTCTCATTCCATCCTCCTGGTAGATGCCCCCGTCGCAGTCGATGGGGACGCACTTGGCTGCGAGGAAGGGAGGAAGTGGAGGTGGGAGGGGGAGGGGATGCGAGGTTGAAAAAGGTACTTGAGCCCTATCAACCATAGCGGTCGATGGGGATGCACTTGGCTGCGAGGAAGGGAGGAGCAGAATGGGCGCCCACTGGCAGGTATTGCGCGCTATGAGCGCCCACTGGCAGGTATTGCGCTCTATGAGCGCCCACTGGCAGGTATTGCGCTCTATGAGCGCCCACTGGCAGGTATTGCGCGCTATGAGCGCCCACTGGCAGGTATTGCGCTCTATGAGCGCCCACTGGCAGGTATTGCGCGCTATGAGCGCCCACTGGCAGGTATTGCGCTCTATGAGCGCCCACTGGCAGGTATTGCGCTCTATGAGCGCCCACTGGCTGGCAGCGAGACGGTTAAGAAGGAGCTACTGCCACTGAGATGCCCAAACGGCCCCCACCAGCCAGCCTGCGAGACGAGACTCACCATGGCTGGCGGAAGTTTCTGAGAATTCTCAAAAACAGAGGGACGAGACTCACCCAAGCAGAGGAGGCATGCAGTGAAGGGGTTGGTGAAGCAGACGTCCCGCGCACTGCAGTGAGCGCTGAGCGCCCACTGGCAGGGAGTGGGGCACAGACCCCCAAACCCGAACCCCCCACCAGCATTGCCACTCATTCAGGCGGAAGAGGTAGGCAGTTAAGGGGTTGGTGAAGCAGATGTCCCGAGCAGTGAGGGTCCACAGGCAGTGAGAAAATCCACCCTTATATCAGCCACAGACCCCTCACCAGCATTGACACTCACCGAGGCGGAAGAGGTACCCAGTGAAGGGGTTGGTGAAGCAGATGTCCCACGCTGTGAGCGTCCAGCGGCAGTGAGGCGGGTCGGGCATAATGAGGCAGGCAGGCTGGTCGCTTCTCCGCCACCGGGACTCACCGAGGCGGAAGAGGTACGCAGTGAAGGGGTTGGTGAAGCAGATGTCACGTGCAGTGAGCGTCCACCGGCAGCGATACGGATCGGAGAAGCGCAGGCGCCACTGGTTCCACAGGAGCGGGTCGTCAAGGCTGGGGGGTGGGGTGGGGAGAGGACGCGAGGGGGGGAATGGGGAAACAGCAAGAGGCAGGAGGTATGAGATGGGGGGAAAGCAACGCAGCGGTGTGGGTCGGAGAAGCGCATGCTATGCACATACGTGGACATGTGGTTGCTGACGGTGATGAGCGGAGTCCCCTTGGGCCTCCGCCTGACCAGCTCCAGCAGCGTGTCCTCGTTAATAACTTTGGTGCGGTTCACCACATGCGTGTACGTGAACGTCCACGCGTGCACGAAGCTCAGCGACAGGCGCCTGGGGATGCCGCGCTGGTAGCTGTTCTCCGCCACCCTCGCCATGGGGGACGCAGGCCGGATCACCATCCCCTCCACCGTGTTGTCGCCTCCCCCCTCACTCTCTGCTCCTGCCTCCACACTCGCTCCTCCCCCACTTGCTTCCACGTCGATCCGCACCTCCCCTCCTCCGTCGCCTGTTGCTCCCTTGCTCACCTCCCCTTCCTTTGCCGGCTCACTGCTTGAACTGCCAGCATCGCCACCACCAGCACCACCACCAGCAACAGCAGCACCACCAGCACCGCTCCCTCTCGCCGCCTCCTCTCCCTTCCGCCATGTCACCACCCGCCCCCCTTCCCACGAAACCACCTCCAGCCTCTCCCCCAAATCCAGGGTCCCCCGCATGCACGGCAGCACGGACAGGCACGAGGGGGTAACCACACGCCGGTTACGCCGTCGCACAGCCCCGGTGTAGCAGAAGCGGTACCAAAGTTGCAGGCAGAGCGAGCGCAGGAAGATGATCACAGTGAAGACGAGCGCCGGGACGAAGATCACCCCCGCGCCCACTGCGGAGATGATCTGCACGAAGCGCCAGTACGGGGTCGTGTTGGCGCGGATGCCCCCGCCCCAAGTGCGCCCTCCCCCTCCGCCTGCTGCCCCTGCGGCTGCGGCCCGTGGGGCCCTGGATGCTGCTTGAGAGGGGTCTATTTGCTGAGAGACTGCCGACTGCTGCCCTCCAGCCACCTTTCCTCCACTCTGCCCTGGAGCTTCGTCTTCCGCTCCTTCCCCACCTCCCCCCCCTTCCCCCCCTTCCCCCCCTGGTGCTGCTTCTGAACCTCCTTCCCCACCTTGCATCCCCCCCACGCTCTTCCCCTCCCCACCCTCCTCCCCCTCTCTCCGCATCTCATCTGCTGCGCGCACGGCGCAGCTCCCCGAGCCAGTCTTAACATCCGAAACCGTCTGCTGCCACCCCTCCCCAACACCCTCCGCCTCCACCCCTTGTTCCTCTCCTCCCCCCTTCTCCCCGCCTTCCCCCTCTCCCCCCCTCCTCCGCCTCTCCCGCCCGTCAGCGGCTCCTGTTCCCCGCTCGCGCTGCCCCCTCCCATAATGTCCCCCGACCTTTCTCCTAAGCCTTCCTCCTTTCCCCCTTCCTTCCCCGCTCTTTCCTCTCCGCTCACCCCTCCCGCGTTCCCCCCGGCTCCTTCCCCCGTTTCCCCATCCGTCCCCCCAAGTAACCTCTCCTCCGCGTCCAGGGTGGCGGCGGCCGCGGGGGGAAAAAAGAAGAGGGGCGGGGAGGGGGGAGGCGGCGGCGGGGAGGGGGAACCTTGGGCGGGGGAAGCAGGGGGTTGCAGAGGGGGCTGCGGGGGTTGCGGAAGAGGAGGCGGGGGAAGGGAGCGCCGCCCGTGGTGGCGGAAGGGGCGGCTAACGAGGAAGGGGATGGGGGAATAGAATAGAAGTGCGATGGGGGAGAGTAGGAGCGGCGTAAGAAAGGGAGGGAAAGGGTAGGAATGGAGATGAGGCAGGGAGGGAGGGAGGGGGAGGCTGAGAGTGGGGTGGGGGGGAGACCGTGGGGTCGGTGGGTAGGGGAGTAGCTAGGAATGCGACGAGAGGCTTCGAATGGCGATGCGGAATGTCGCAGAAGATGAAGGGATATATTAACGGGCTGGCTTGGTGCCAGGCGTTAGCGACCGTTGGCGAAAGGTGTAACCCCACTGCGACACCGTAGCCTGACAGCGTCTTCACGATCGAACCACGACGCGACCAGCAATTTGGAGCTGGAACGAGTCGGCGTAATGTTTCGGCGTAATGTGTCAGTATGATATGCCAGTACTTCAATCCGACGGCACAGTGCGACTCAATCGACCAGTCGCGTGCGATGCAGTCTCCCAATCGCGTGCGAATCAATCGCCCAATATCGTGCGACGTAATCGCCCAATCGCGTGCGACTCAATCGCCGGATCGCGAATCCCAGACTCACTTGCGAGCCTTTGACACTAGAAACACAATGTTCGCTCGCAAAGCCGTGTGTCGTGATTGGTAACAAAAGCTCGTGTTCGTCGCGTCGTCTGCTGCCAGCTACGCCGCTCTAGTTGGGCAGTTCCGAAGCGGTATGCCAGTCGCCGTTGCCTTGAGTTGACTCAGAAGTTATGGTCGCCGCCGACTGGAGTGTTGCCTGTATGCGAAACCGTCGTCCCGCCTGTATGTAGGGGAGGTCGGCTGTTCGTCTTGTGTCGTGATGAATAACGGCTATACGATGGCTAGCGAGTTGTCTGCCTTATGGAACAACGTGAGGGCGTGGACACTGAAGACCGTAGATTGTTGATGAACATGGAAGGAGATATGGATCTTCGTTTGACAGGAACAAAGACCATGGCTTGCCATGCGGCAAGCAGCTGCAGCATGCAGCCTCCCCCCACGAATTCGTGTTGTTCTGTGCTCTCTCGGGGTGCCTTTGTTTTATCAAGTTACCCCAACGGTTCGATCCATCGATACCAGTCCCAATATAAACACATCCCACTCAATGGACCTACCACTCCGTGAACCAGCCCAAATGGTCCTGTATTCAGTATTCCGTGACGCAAAAAATTCGGGGCTATGGCAGAACGGCTCACGAAGTACCACGGGCTGCCCGCGAAGCTCTTCAAATGTTAGGACTACCTTTGTTCCGACAGGTATGCTGCCATGCTGGCATGGCATGAAAAGCGTCGCGCGGGAACTCCGAGGCCAGTGGGCGTATTGAATTGGGGTGTCAGAGCGGACGAGCTTCGTGCACGTGATTTCGCCAAGCGGACTCGCCGCTGTAACAAAACGACCACCTACACTCCCGTCCCAAAGTCTCGTCCATACAAACGGAAGCATAACTTCTCTATTGCACAAAGTGTTGCTATAACAAAGTGCCTACCTTGAATATTCAACAAAGCTGAGTTTAAAGCGGATGCAATAGAACACACCCAACGCAGGGAAACTAACGGTCAACAGTCAGATGACGGTCCTTCTGCCCTCAACCGCATGCATCAGGCCATAGCGATTTCCAGACTTCATTAGTATAGCAGGAGGCCAGCTCCGTACGAGGTCTGTACTATACTACCCTCACCCCTCCTGCAAAAGCTCCTTCATAGTCTCTGTGGCATCCTTGGGCACGTGCCTTCCAGGCACCCGCACCTTGAGCAGGGTGAGGTACCTGGTGGTGGGAGGGAAGGGAGAGTGGGTGCGCTGTTGGGATGGGGAAACATGCATAACCCCTCACTTGGGAGGGTTAGAAACCCGTTGGGAGGGGGAGTGGGTGGGAAAGTAGGATTGGGTAGCACCTTGTGCAGGGTTAAGAACCTGATTTAGAATAGAAGGGAAGGGAAGGGGGGATGGGTTGCTAGATGGGTGGGTGGAGAACATGCATAAAAGCACGCACGCACGGACATCCGCATATACGTACACTCACATTACCATGCACATGCACACATGCTCATGCACATAATTACCAAGAACAATAGTATATAAGTAACTGTGACGTGCGAGTTGTGATCATGGGAATGCAGGAGTTGCTAGCACAGTGATGCACGTATCCGTGCATCACACCGTGCATGCACCCCATGCACCATACTACAAGAGCCATGGCGATGTTGATCCGCTTTTGAGTCGACTCAAAAGCATGAGTCGTGATGACAGCGATGCATGTACCCCGCGCATCATGTGGCAACCAGACGTTACTTACGTCATCTGATAACTAGATGTTACTTACCTCATCTGGTAACCAGACGTTACTTACCTCATCTGGAAACCAGGCACTACTTGCCTCGTAACTCGAACAAGGCCCACTTACTCATCAAGGGAGAAGTAGCGGTTGTGGTCCTTGATGTATGCAAGCAGGGCCTGGAAGGGAGAATGAAACAAGTGAAAACGAATCATTTGCTTGGGGCAGTGGAGGCACAAATGTTAGGGAATGGAAAGAGACAAGGAGAAGAAGTCGCGAAGTCGTTGTGTCCTTGATGCATGCAAGCAGGGCCTGGAAGGGCAAACAAAACAAGTGGAAACGAGCCCGTTGCAGAGGCAAGAATATGGAAGCGGAGGAAGAGCCAGTCGTTGTAAAATGGAAAGGGAGTGGGAGAAGCGGAGGAAGTAGGCGCTGTGGTGCGTGATGTACGCAAGCAGAGCACCGAAGAGAAGTGCTGGGGATTCCGACTTGGGCAGAGTTTGATTGAAGAATTGTGGGTTTGCTGCGGAGTTGGAAGGGATGTTCACAGCTCAGCTCAAGACTGCCGCGTACAATCGCTGGACTTCTGAGCTGAGTTACGCAACAAGACACGCCACACGCCGCACCACCTAAGTGATGCCTCAACAGATGCTCCCCACACAAGCGACATTGCAAACACACTTCACACCTGAAACAACCATTACAGCAGCTGCTATTGAGCTTGTACCTCATACACTTTGGCGAATACCCTTATGGTGCAGAACGCACCTCACAGCATGCAGTGCAGCACCTACCTCATAGGGGCGGTTCAACAGCTCGTACTACTCTTGCACGCGGTCAAAACTCAGCTGCACGCTCTGACTGCACGGGGCCAATCGAATGCCTTGTTGTATGTATGTCATAACATGCAGTGCACGCACAGTCCCTTATGCAGTGCACGCACGCACGGTACCTTATGCAGTGCACGCACGGTACCTTATGCAGCACTGCCCCTCACCACAGATGGCCTATTGAGCAGCTCGTAGTACTGGTCCACACGGTCCAAGCTCAGCTGCACGCTCTGGCTGCACGGGGCCGGCTGACTACCTCGAGGTACGTTTTTGTACTATGGGGGCAAGGGGTGGTAGGCCGTGCAACCCCTCACCTCGTACGGCCGGTTCAGCAACTCGTAGTACTCGCCCACGCGGTCCAAGCTCAGCTGCACGCTCTGGCTGCCGTTGGCGTTGAGCGTGGCAAGGGTCTGAGACGGGGGGGTGAGGGGGGAAAGGGAGGAGGAGGAGACAGACAAGAGTGAGTGAGAGGGGGAAAGGAGGATGAGAAGAGAGACGAGCGCGAGCGAAATGGAAAAGGAGGAAGAGGAGACAGGGAAAGAGCTGACTACCACTGGCGCTGAGAATGGTGGTTGGGGTGAGGTGAGAGGTGAGAGGCGTGAGATGAGAGGCGTGAGATGAGAGGCGTGAGATGAGAGGCGTGAGATGAGAGGCGTGAGATGAGAGGCGTGAGATGAGAGGTGTGAGATGAGAGGTGTGAGATGAGAGGTGTGAGATGAGAGGTGTGAGATGAGAGGTGTGAGATGAGAGGTGTGAGATGAGAGGTGTGAGATGAGAGGTGTGAGATGAGAGGCGTGAGATGAGAGGTGTGAGATGAGAGGTGTGAGATGAGAGGTGTGAGATGAGAGGTGTGAGATGAGAGGTGTGAGATGAGAGGTGTGAGATGAGAGGTGAGGAGCGAGGAGTGAGAGGTGAGAGGAGTGAGAGGTGAGAGGAGTGAGAGGTGAGAGGAGTGGGGCAGAAGGAAGAGGGGAAACAAGAGAAGATGAAAACACACGAGTGGAAAACTCAATATTGCACGAACTGAGCAGGAAGCCTTTGAAAACAGTCAACATGTGTGAGTCAGCCAGGTGAGACGAGCCAATCACCTGCTGCAGTGCAATGCAGTTAAAGCCCCACCTGCTGCACTGAAAGCCCTACCTGCTGCACTTAAAGCCCCACCTGCTGCACTTGAAGCCCTACCAGCTGCACTTAAAGCCCTACCTGCTGCACTTAAAAAGCCCCACCTGCTGCAGCACAACGCACTTAAAGCCCCACCTGCTGCAGCGCAACGCACTTAAAGCCCCAACTGCTGCAGTGCAACGCACTTAAAGCCCCACCTGCTAACACACTTAAAGCCCCACCTGCTGCAGCGCAATGCAGTTGCGCTGAACCTGCCGCACTCCCAGCGAGTTGATCCCCTGGAGCTCGGCCAGGGCCTTGGGGAGGAGAAGGGAGCAAGAGGAGCAAAGGGACGAGAGAGAGAGAGGTTGTGTGAAATGGTGAGGGTAGGGGAGACGACCTCAAAGAACTCCCAGAGAGTTGATTCCCTGCAGCTCCGCCAGGGCCTGGGAGGGAGGGGAGTGATGGGAAAGGGCAGGGAGGGGATAGGAGGGCAGGCGAGAACTGAGGAACAGCGTGTGTTTCTGTTGCTGTTGCTGTCGCTGTTGCTGCCGCTGTTGCTGTTGCTGCTGCTGTTGCTGTTGCTGCTGCTGTTGCTGTTGCTGCTGCTGTTGCTGTTGCTGTTGCTGTTGCTGTTGCTGCTGCTGTTGCTGTTGCTGGCGCAAACTTCACTCACCTAATTCCTCGCGCACCTAGGAAAGCCAGCCTTGTCGTTCTGATTTTCTCCTCCGACCCCTAAACGCAATGCGATATTTTTTAACATCGCACCCTAAATCGCGATATGCGATTTCAAATTTTGAAACAGAATATCACAGCGATGCAATATCGCATCGCATCGCATTTTAACCATGTCTAGCTGCCGCACTCCCCAGCGAGTTGATGCCCTGCAACTCGGCCACGGCCTGGGGGGAGAGAAGGGGAGGAGAGGAGCAAGCAAGGGATGAGGGGGAGAGGTTGTGTGAACTGGTGCGGCAATGCGCCTCAACGCACTCCCAGCGAGTTAATCCTCTGCAGTTCCGCCAGAAGATTGAGGAATCAAGTTCATGCACCCAATGGTTCAAGATTGGGTAACGGGAATCGAGGAATGGCAGGAGAGGGGGCAGTAAGACGGGCGCCAAGGGTGGCTTGGGTGACTCTCTGAAGAGAGGGGAGTTGAAGCCCTCCCTGAGAGGAGCCTTGGCAGCAAGGCTCCAGACGCCCCTTGGCAGCAAGGCTCCAGACGCCCCTTGGCAGCAAGGCTCCAGACGCCCCTTGGCAGCAAGGCTCCAGACGCCCCTTGGCAGCAAGGCGCCAGACGCCCCTTGGCAGCAAGGCGCCAGACGCCCCTTGGCAGCAAGGCTGCAGACGCCCCTTGGCAGCAAGGCTCCAGACGCCCCTTGGCAGCAAGGTTCCAGACGCCCCTTGGTAGCAAGGCTCCAGCCAAACGCCCCCAAGGCATGTACTACTCGTGCACACATTCACAGTCAGAACAGTCAGAACAGTCAGAACAGTCAGAACAGTCAGAACAGTCAGAACACATCCCCGAATCAGTCCGGTAGCGACAAGGCTTCACACACCCCCAATGGCATGCTCCCTTGCACAAAGTTCCGATCAGATCTGCACGTTCCCAAATCAAAACCGCACGTTCCCGAATCAAAACCGCACATTCCCGAATCAAAACCGCACGTTCCCGAATCAAAACCGCACGTTCCCGAATCAAAACCGCACGTTCCCGAATCAAAACCGCACATACCCGAATCAAAACCACACATTCCCGTATCAAAACCGCTCATATCCGAATCAAAACCGCACATTCCCGAATCAAAACCGCACATACCCGAGTCAAAACCGCACATACCCGAGTCAAAACCGCACATTCCCGAATCAAAACCGCACATTCCCGAATCAAAACCGCACATTCCCGAATAAAAACCGCACATTCCTGAATCAAAACAGCACATTCCCGAATCAAAACCACACATTCCCGAATCAAAACTGCACATACCCGAATCAAAACCACACATACCCGAATGAGCCCAGTGGCGGCAAGGCTGCAGACGCCCCCAAAGACAAAGTAACGCCTGGCAGGGGCGATGAAGACAGTCATCTCCTCGTCCACCCGGGTGAGCTGTTTAAAAGAGGGGGAGGCAAAGGGGGGGGAGGGGGGGGGGGAGGGGAGAAAGGGAAGGAGGGGTTGTTTGGCGCATTAAGGAATGGCGGGCGAGGAAGTCGGTCATTTCCAGGACCACACAGGTGAGCTGCTTGACAGGAGGGGAGGGGAAGATTGGGGAGGGAGGAAAGACAAGAAGACATGTACGAGGCACGCTATAAGAGCCACAGGGGCGATGAAGACTATGATTGCCTCATCACCAGCAGGAGCGTTTACTTCCCTAAGCTAAATGGAGAGATGGGGGAGGGAGGAGAAGAAGAAAGGGATTCAAACGTTCTTAGATGGGAATTCTCATGGCTTCTTCTAATAAGAGGCACCGCTTCAGGCGACTAGGAAGAAACAAGCCAAATCAAACGCACTGCACCAGACCAGACACTATGGATGTGGCTCTTCAACCAGCACGAACAACGCACAAGGGTGAGCAGATAGTTGAATGGAGGCCAGAAAAGAAAAAAAAATGATGGCAAAAAAGGCGGGCTTATTAGATAAAACGGAAAAAGGTGATGTATTAGTGATCAGTAAGCTGGCTAGGTTAGGGGATGAGCTTGCACGGATGAACAGCACCTGCACGGATGAACAGTACCTGCACGGATGAACAGCACCTGTGCGGATGAACAGTACCTGCACGGATGAACAGCACCTGTGCGGATGAACAGTACCTGTGCGGATGAACAGCACCTGTGCGGATGAACAGTACCTGTGCGGATGAACAGTACCTGTGCGACAGTACCTGTGCGGATGAACAGTACCTGTGCAGTGAGTGCGACGATGAAATCCTCGGGCTCTTCTGCATCGATCTCGTTGACGTACCCCCGGGATGGCATGAACTGGCGGCGAGGGGCATAGAGGGGGGAGGGGCATAGAGGGGGGAGGGGCATAGAGGGGGGAGGGGCATAGAGGGGGGAGGGGCATAGAGGGGCGAGCGGAATAGAGGGGGGAGGGGCATAGAGGGGGGAGGGGAATAGAGGGGGGAGGGGCATAGAGGGGGGAGGGGCATAGAGGGGGGAGGGGAATAGAGGGGAGTGGAATAGAGGGGCGAGGGGAATAGAGGGGGGAGGGGCATAGAGGGGGGAGGGGCATAGAGAGGGGAGGGGAATAGAGGGGGGAGGGGAATAGAGGGGCAAGGGGAATAGAGGGGGGAGGGGCACAAGTTACTAGAGCTTAGGGAAAGGGCTCTTGTGCATCAATCTCGTCCTCATCGCCTCGGGGTGGCATGAACTGGGAGAAGAGGGAAAAGGGCCAAACAGAACTTGGTGCTTACTTAGAGGGAGGACGCAGTGCGGGTGGTACAAGCTCCTCTGCCAGCAACCGGTGGGTATCGTTCTGCCAGCTGCTGCAGCGTTGGGGAGTGGGATGGGGGGGGAACGGCACTCCTTCCTTCCCCACACTTCTCGCCACTTCCCTCCCAACCGCACCCTTTCTCCAAACAGTCCCCTCCCCCTCCCCCCCCCTAAAAGAAAAACACACACACACACACACACACACACACACACACACACACACACACACACACACACACACACACACACACACGCACCTGAAGGTGGAAGATGCAGTGCAGCTGCATCTCCACGCGCAGTGTCTTGAGCGCCTCTCGGGCCAGCGCGCGGTACCGCTCTGCCAGCTGCTGCAGGGAGGCTGTTAGCGCTGGCGCCCTCTGCTGCCGGGCTGACGCTGCTGCAGTCTTCTTTCTCGCGCTGCCAGCTGCCTTGGGGCGACCAAGGCTGGTGGGAGGAGGGGAAGGGGTAAGAAGGGAAAAGGTGTGGGGGAAGTGTGAGCAGCGACCGGTATTGCTGCTGCATTGCCAGCTGCAGCAGGGAGGCTGTCAGTGCTGGCGCCTTCTGCTGGTGGGCCGATGCTGCTGTGGTATCCTTCCTCGCGCTGCCAGCTGCCATGGGGCGACCAAGGCAGGTGGGGAGAGGAAGTGGAAGAGGGGGAAGGAATGGAAAACGTTCGGGGGGAGAGTGGGCAGCGACTGGTACCGCCCTGCCAGCTGCAGCAGTGCCGATGCTACCATGGCTTTCCTCCTCGTGTTTGCTGCTGCCTTGGACCGCCCAAGGCAGGTGGGAAGAGGCGAGGAAGAGCGGTCAGTGCGGCGCGGAGCCCTCTGCTGTTGGGCTTATGCTCCGAGAATTTACCCTTTCCGCCCCCTGCTGCCTTGGTTTACCAGGACTGGGAAAAAGAATTGGAGGAGGAGAGGAGGCAAGGGGATGTACGAGCAGCAACGCTGTCAGAGCGGCGCTCTCTGCTGCCTTGTCAATGCACGGAGCCCGTCAGAGCGGCGCCCTCTGCTCCGCGGATTTCTGCTTTGCGCTCCCTGCTGCTTTGTGCTGTCCCAGACTAGCCGCGTCACATTCTCACTATCAACTGTATGCATCTTTGGATTGGTCGCAGGATAATATCAGCAGGGTATCATGCTAGGAGGCATGTGGTGCAGACATGTATGTTGTGTGCGTGTGCATACATATGCATAACATGACATGACATGTGCGTGCGTGCATACAAATGCATGATATTTGCGTGCGTGTGTGCATACATAGGCAAGACATGCGTGCATACATAGGCAAGACATGCGTGCATACATAGGCAAGACATGCGTGCATACATAGGCAAGACATGCGTGCATACATAGGCAAGACATGTGTGCATACATAGGCAAGACATGTGTGCATACATAGGCAAGACATGTGTGCATACATAGGCAAGACATGCGTGCATACATAGGCAAGACATGTGTGCATACATAGGCAAGACATGTGTGCATACATAGGCAAGACATGTGTGCATACATAGGCAAGACATGCGTGCATACGTAGGCAAGACATGCGTGCATACATAGGCAAGACATGCGTGCATACATAGGCAAGACATGTGTGCATGTGTGGGTTTCTCACCGAAGGATGGCATCTGCGAAGTACTCGAGAGTGTCACTCAGCGCCGCCAGCAGCACCAGCTTGCCCGTGTCCAGGATCAGTTGCTCCTGGTGGGAGGAAGGGGAGATGGGAGGCCAGTGCAAGGGGGGATGAGAAGCGAGGGGGGGGGGAATGGGGAGGAGAGACAAGGTGCAAGGGGGAAGAGAGGCGAGGGGAAAGGGGGAGGCGAGGCGAGGTGACTTTTGAGTCGACTCAAACGGAGGGGGGGATGAGAGGCGAGGGGCAAGGGAGAGGGTAGGCACGGTTCTGGTGGCAACGTGAGAGAATAGATAGAGGTGCCAGGGGCAAGAGAAGAGAAGAGAGGTGCCCAGAATAAGCTGCTCCTGATGGAAAGGGGGGGGGTCAAGGGCGAGGAGGAAAAAGAGGAGGCAGGAGAGGGAGGAGGGAGAGGATGGGGAGGAAGGCAGGAGGAGGAAGTGCAGTGTGCTTCCATGGAACACCAGCAGCATGCCTTTAGAGTCGACTCGGAAGTGCAGTGTGCTTCCATGGAACACCAGCAGCATGCCATAGGACTCACGGATTCAAGGGCCAGCCTCCCTTCTCCCCTCCCTCCTCCCCCTCCCCCTCTCCTCCTCACCCTCCACAAAGACAGCCACTCACCTCCTTGGCAGACCTCAGAGCCAGCAGTGTCCTGTGAGTCAACAGGAGTCAAGATGAATGAGTCAAACATACTCGAGATCGAGGTGCAGGCCATACATACTCCCCGCTGTCCAAGTTGGGTGGGGGGGCTCCATAGACTGATGCGGTGACTAAGAAGCATATGTCTTTAATTGGCCTCAAAGCCAGCAACTTGCTGTAGATCTTGAGGTCCAGCTCATGCTCCTCGCTCTCTAAGTTGGGGGGCTTAGAGGAAGCACAGCCAGAAGTGACTAAGAAGCATACCTCTTCAATCGGCCGCAGGGCCATCAGCTTGTCGTAGGTCTCATACTCCTTGCTGTCAAGAGGCAGGTCCTTTACTTGTGAACGAGGCGACTACGCGACGCCCATACATCATTCCCCTTTAACCGGCCACAGAGCCAGCAACTTGCCCTAGTTCTCGAGGTCCAGCTCATACTCCTCGCTGCCCAGAGGGGTCCTTCCTTGCCTCACACATTGCGCCCTCACAGTGTGACGCTCGCAATCAATAGGGTGCTTGTCCCACCCTATCAATACAAGCATACCTCTTTAATCGGTCTCAGAGCCAGCAGCTTGCCGTAGATCTCAAGGTCCAGCTCATACTCCTTGCTCGCTCTCTAAGGGCGTGTGGCAAGTAGAATTCTGATTGTTTCCGCTCCGCTCCTCCCATCGTTCCGCTTCCGAACTCCCGAAACATGGGACAGGAGCTCCGCTCGTTTTGATGCTACAGTGGTCACTTGCCAGACGGACACGAGTGTACTTGCTGACCGGAATGAAATTAACCCAACGTGCAACCCCAACAAAACTGCAAATTGGCAAACTGCAAAATTGCGACAATCGCACACTTCGCGAACCCAACAACCATCAGCACAGCACAATCCAGGGTTTGGTTTGGGTTGTCCGAGAGTTTGTATCATAGGTTTTCTGTGATTGGCTGTGTTGTGTCTTTGCAATGTCGCCTGCTCCTGGGATACTTCTTCGCCAGCTCGCATTGGGCAGCGAGTCAGGTTCTTCTTTTGTGACCAGGCTGTTTGTATTTTGCCCCGAAATTCCGTTCCTCTCCCATGCTTTGTTTCTACAGTGGTCACTTGCCACACGAACGGTTTCTGCGAAGTGCATGCAAACACCAATGTGCGACAGGTTTCCACCTCCTCCGCTCCTGTCCCATCGCTCCCATCCCATCGCTCCCGTCCCATTGCTCCCGTCCCATCGCTCCCATCCCATCGCTCCCGTCCCATCGCTCCCGTCCCATCGCTCCCGTCCCATCGCTCCCGTCCCATCGCTCCCGTCCCATCGCTCCCGTCCCATTGCCCCCTTCGTTTTCAAACTACTCGTCACATGCCCTAAGGTCGGACGGTGGCTTAAAGGAAGCAGCGCCAGCAGTGACTAATAAGCATGCCTCTTTAATCGGCCGCAGAGCCAGCAGTGACTAGTAAGCATACCTCTTTAATCGGCCGCAGAGCCAGCAGCTTGCCGTAGATCTCGAGGTCCAGCTCATACTCCTCGCTGTCAAGGGGCGGGTCCTCGCGGGCAGCTTCCAGCTCAGCGGGCGTCAGTTCGCCGTCCAGAATGAGCTTGATGGCACTCTGCTGCTGCATGAGCTCGTCGATGTCCGGCCGGCCCACCAGGTTGCTGCTGAGAGATCCGAGGACAGCCTGGTGGGAGGGGAGGAGGGGGGAAAGGGGGGGGGAAACGGGGGGGGAATGGGGGGGGAATGGGGGGGGGATGGGTGGGTGGGGGGAGAAATGAGCTTGATGGCGCTCTGCTGCTGCATCAACTCGTCAATGTCCGGCCGGCCAACCAGATTGCTGCTGAGGGAGCCGAGAACAGCCTGGTGGGAGGGTGGAGAGTGGGGGGGAGGGGGAAGGGAGGGATCGAATTAGATATTTGCCACCAGCTGCTGCATCAGCTCATCAATGTCTGGCCGGCCCACCAGGTTGCTGCTGAGAGACCCGAGAACAGCCTGGTGGGAGGGTGGAGATGGAGGGAAAGGGAGCTGTTTGCTGCTGCCCAGATCACTAAAACACAAGGGGCACAACCGCCGGATGACCAGCCGAGCAGAAGCACAGAAAATTACTTCAACATTCACTCACCTCTTCGAAGCAGGCTAGGTTTCACTCCGCATTTTATTTGCCAAACACCGTCTCAAGTTAACTGACCCTAGGTTCAGTTCGGTTTCCGCCCCAACCTCCACCCTTGTGATGTTCAGGGTTCTCATTCAATCCTCCTCGCAATTCTAGGGTTTAGGGCTTCCCATCAACATAACATGGTGTTCGAGCAACATCCCCCTCCTGTGCCTCGCAGCCGCACCCAGAGCCCGCCCTGACTACGCTGCCAGTGCTCTCTCTCGCTTCGTCGGGTCGCGCCTCCATATTGACGCCCTCTGAGTCGCTGCCAAGAGCTTTCTTCGCTACTAGCGGGCCATTTTCGATCTTGGACGCCCCTATTCTTGAGTGCCTCATCCACTCCACTAAGGTGAGTTGCCGCCCCAGTCACTGTTCCAACCCCCCCCTCCCTTTACCCCTACCCCATTCCCTCACCTCGGTGTACACCCCCCGGCAGCGCTCGAGAGTCCGGTCTAGCAGCGTGTGCACGAGCGCGACGAACTCGCCGGCATACACGGGCATGGCCTTGGCCCACTCCAGCACCTCCTCCACCACCCCCTCCACCGCCACCGGCCCCTGCAGCAGCGGGCGGCCTTTTTCGGCTGCTGATTCGTACATGCCTATCGTCTTGGCGCGGGGACGGAAGGCAGACGGGCCTGCAAGGGAGATGGGGGGGCGGAGAGAGGACAGAGGAGGGGGTGCGGGTGGGGGTGGGGTTGGGGGGAGGGTGGGGGGGCATAGGAGAGAAGGGCAGCAGTTTGTGAGCTTGGCCAATGCATGACGCCTTGGCCCACTCCACCACCCCCTCCACCGCCACCGGCCCCTGCAGCAGCGGCCGCCCCTTCTCCACCGCCGGCTCGTACATGCCTATCGTCTTGGCGCAGGGACGGAAGGCAGACGGGTCTGCAGTAGTCATATCCGAAGGGGGGGGGGTTGTGCCGGGGGGGGGGGGGGGGAGCAGAGGGGTGAGGAGTAGCAGTCGTCTGTCAGCTTGCTCCAGTGTGTTTTTCCATGCCAGTTCGTACATGCCTATGATCTTGGCACGCGAGCGGAAGGAAGAGGAGCCTGGGGTGAAATTGGGAGGGGAGGGGGGGAAGGGAGAGAAGAACAGAGCAGCAGCAATCAGCTTGCTCCAGGGTATGATGGCATACGGGCTTGTACATGCCTATGGTCTGAGCTCGCAATCAAGCCAGTGGGACTCGTACTCGCACCACTCCCACACCCATTGCGACCCAACACTCACTGGAAAGGGCTTCTGCCACACGGCTGCGGTAGTCATCGCGCACACAGGGCAGGAACTGGTCCTTAACGAAGCTGTCCATAAAGGGGCGCAGGCCAGAGCGACTGCAGCAGCAGGGGCAGGAAGGGACGAAAGGAGGGTCAGCAAAATCCAAGGGAAGCGGTGAATGCGTTTTACAGGAGGCCATGGCAGGTGGATGGTACATACACATGATTCCAGAATACACCCGGAAAGCGGCATTGTTTCTACCGGATTGTGTACATGTATGGGGGCAGAAAATGCGATTTGAATAGCAATCAACGGCTGCGTGGGTGACAGCTCACCCCAGGTCGGAATATTTGCGTGGCAACATTTGCGTGACCTTCTCAGTGAACTGTGAGGGAAGGAGAGATGGAAAGGCGGGGGGTTGTGCAGGAGGGGGGGAACGATGGATGAAGGGAGGAAAGAAGGGAGGGAGGGATGGAGAGAGAGAGGAGGAGGGAGGGCGTTGAGAAGGAGGAGAGAACGAGGAGAGCTGGAAGAGAGAGTGATTTATTTTTGGCAGAAGCATACAACAGTGAATAAGAGCATTACAGAAGGAGCAGGGAGGGATGTGCAGGCCAATGCCGAAGCAGGGGGTGGCAGCAACAGGAGGTGAGGTGGGTGGGAGAAGGGGGAGAGGTGCGGCAGAGGGGTTTGGGTGGCGCAGAGGGGGTTGGGTGGGGCAGAGGGGGTTGGGTGCGGCAGAGGGGGTTGGGTGCGACAGAGGGGGTTGGATGGGAAGGAGCGGAGGGTGGACGCGAATTTACCTGTCCAGCGGCACTTATGCCATTAAGTCCTCCCCAGGTGTTGGAGGCCCCTCATGATTCCCCACTACCTTGGACCACCTCTTCCCCACACTTACTCAAGCAAATATGAGACATCTCAAAACATTACCCCCCTACCCCCAGCCACTCCGTCCCCAGCCTCCTACTCCTCCACCTGAACCACCCCGCACTCCCCCCCCACCCCCCCTGGCAGCTGGACTCACCTGCAGGGTGGGTCGGTAGCAGGCAGAAGTGAGGTAGATGCCTCGTTCTGGCAGCAGCTGCGCTGTGCCATACCCCTCCAGAGCCCCCGCTCCAGCCGCCATGCCGCCCACACGCCTCTTGGGGAGAGTCTCTGGCACGGGAGCAGGAGAGAGGAGGAGCATTGGGAGGGGGCAGGAACGGGAGAAGGGCTGGGAGAGCAGCTGTGGCGTGCTGCTCCAGCTACCTTGCCATTCATTCCACAGACCACAGTCGTGCACCCAAGGACACAGTTCGCCATTGAAGCATAAAAAAAGGCACCTGAAGCAGCAAAAGCGGCACCCGAAGCAGCAAAAGTGGGACCTGATGCAGCAAAAGCGGCACCTGAAGCAACAAAAGGGGCACCTGAAGCAGCAAAGGGGCACCTGAAGCAGCAGAGTGCCATACCCAAGGCAGGAGCAGAGGCGGTGTTGGAGACTTTGAAAAAAAGACTCAATGTGAGGTGAGAGCATCACGCCCTTCATGCTCCTGATAGCGATCACACATGCAAGCATGCATCAACGCAGGCATGCATCAACGCAGCCGTGTGCCCCATACATACGGCCGCACCTGAGACAGGAGCAGAGGCGGTGTTGGAGTCGTTGAATCGGAAGCTGAAGGTGAGCATCATGCCCTTCATGCTCCTGGGGGAACACAGCGTGCGCCCATGCAACACGTACCGACAGAACCATGTCAATCATCCCAGCAGGCTCTCATGCGCCCTTGCTCCCGTGCACCCATAAACCCATGCACCCATGCACCCATAAACCCATGCACCCATGCACCCATCCACCCATCCACCCATGCACCCATCCACCCATCCACCCATCCACACATCCACCCATCCACACATCCACCCATCCAATCGTCCAACCATCCACACATTCACCCATCCACCCATGCACCCATGCACCCACAGTCATGCATCCATGCACCCATGTGCCATACACCAAAGCATGTCAGAAGCCATGCAACAAAACATGTTACCAAAAGCGAGCAGCAGAGCACACCAAACATTCAAGTAGCCACACATGGTTGAGGTCCAGGGAGTTGAAAGCACACATACAGAAAGACAGAGGACTGCGCGTGGGCGCAAAGGGGGACAGGGGACCGGGCGGGGGGGGGAGGAGGGGGGGGGGGAATGGGGAGGGTGGGGGGATTGAAGAAACAAACCAAATTGCAATGAATTGCGTTCAACCTAGGAAAAGACGCACATGAGATCAAACCCAGTTTGATTGGATCAGATCTCACCCTGCGGAATCGAGCTTGAGGTGAGCATTGCGCCCTGACGTCTCTGATAACCCGCCGTCCGGGTTGGCCCTCAGGATGTCGCACAGCAGCTGCTGGCACTCGCTCTGGTGGAAAGACAAAGGGCGGACGGGGGGATAGGGGTGTGGAGAGGAGGTTTTGAGTCGGTTGAGACAGCATCAGAGTTGCCCTTAACAAGCCGTGCAGCAGCTGCTGGCAGTGGCTCTGGTGGAAAGATGGGGGGGGACACGCATGCGAGTCGAGGAGGGAGGGTGGGGGTTTTACTTGACGCAAACATCAGGGATTGGTTGGCCCTCAGGATGCCGCACAGCAGCTGCTGGCACTCGCTCCGGTGGAGGGGTAGGGCAGGGCAGGGCAGGGACACAAGCATGTGCGTTGACAAGGGAGGGCAGGCCGTGGGGGTTTGATTCGACTCAAACAAGTGGAAGAAGGGGGATTTCTTAGTTCAATGAAAGAGGCTAAAGGACGGAGATGGATGGCATCCGAAGTGGAGCAGCTGAAAGAGTAGGTTCTAGCACTGTAATGCTACTTTTGCGGCACCTCGAAGAAGGGGAGCAGATGAGTGAGGGCATGCTAGCACTGTAATACTGCACAGCACACCCAGACTCACCACATACCCGCCCAGATGGCACGCAACACTACAAAATGGGACCAGCCAAACAGCCACCCGCCTGCATGCAGAACAGACAAACAACCGCCCACCTGCATGCAGGACCAGACAAACGCCACACTGTAGCCGCCCGTGCTGGCGCTGAACTTGCTGACCGCCTCGTCCCCATCGGGCGTGCGGCGCACATCAGAGGAGCGGTCCGACGCCTTGGCCTCCATGAGGTCGCCCACCACTATGTGGTTCTCTGCAGCACAGGCATGGGTTTACAACGATGAACGACGGTGATGGGGAGTGAAAGGGAGAGGAACGGTCAGACGCCTTGGCCTCAATGAGGTCGCCCACCACTATGTGGGTCTCTGCAGGGATGTGAATGAGTGTGGGCCTTAGTTGGTCAATTACGTTTACGTGTACGTACGTTTACGCATTACGTTTACGTGTACGTTTGCGTTCCAGAATGAGTTTACGTTTGCGGGAAGGTTTAAAACTTTTGGGGTTGCCCGTGGTACCGTTTTTCTTTTTGGAGGTATGGTGAATATTGTACTAGTAAGGAATATATTGCAGTTTGTAACACTTTCGAGTTGCTGGCTCCAGGTTTGACGAAATTGGCGATTTTGACTCCGATGGGAATTTTCCGACCGTCAATTCGTGAATCTTCCCCCCACCTCCACTCATGACCCCTTTCCTCCCCAATCCCCTTTCCGTCTGATTCGATTAGGAGACATTAGCTGCGATTTCGAAATTTAAGGGGATTTTTTTCCCCCCAATCTTTTTCAAGGCTGCCCGGAAAAACGTACGCGCATTTACGCGTACGTAAACGTAAACGTAAATTTACGCGTAACGTTACGTGTACGTGGCTGCCTGGGCGTAAGAGACCAACTAAGGTGTGGGGAGAAGAGGGGTGCGGGGAGGAGGGGATGAGAAGCGAGGAGGAGCGGTCAGACGCCTTGGCCTCCATGAGATCGCCCACCACGATGTGGTTCTCTACAGGGGTGCGAGTGAGTGGTGAAGGCTAAGCGTGGAGATACGAGGTAGGGAGGGACAGAGGGAGATGCTGAACTGTGCACAACAGAGGAGCGGTCCGACGCCTTGGCCTCCATGAGATCGCCCACCACGATGTGGTTCTCTGCCATGGGTTCACGTGTAAGGCAAGCACAGGGGATGTGAGCGCAGAGGCAAGGAGGAAGAGAAAGGAAGTGCTAAACTCGCTGAACTTGCTGCCTGCCTTGTCCAGATCGGGCGTGCAGCGCACGTCAGAGGAGCGGTCCACCGCCTCAGCCTCCATGAGGTTGGTGACTTTTGAGTCGATTCAAAAGCCGCCTCAGCCTCCATGAGGTTGGTGACTTTTGAGTCGACTCAAAAGCCGCTTCAGCCTCCATGAGGTTGGTGACTTTTGAGTCGACTCAAAAGCCGCCTCAGCCTCCATGAGGTTGGTAACTTTTGAGTCGACTCAAAAGCCGCCTCAGCCTCCATGAGGTTGGTGACTTTTGAGTCGACTCAAAAGCCGCCTCAGCCTCCATGAGGTTGGTGACTTTTGAGTCGACTCAAAAGCCGCTTCAGCCTCCATGAGGTTGGTGACTTTTGAGTCGACTCAAAAGCCGCCTCAGCCTCCATGAGGTTGGTAACTTTTGAGTCGACTCAAAAGCCGCCTCAGCCTCCATGAGGTTGGTGACTTTTGAGTCGACTCAAAAGCCGCCTCAGCCTCCATGAGGTTGGTGACTTTTGAGTCGACTCAAAAGCCGCCTCAGCCTCCATGAGGGTGCCCTCCACTATGTTTTTGAGTCGACTCAAAAGCCGCCTCAGCCTCCATGAGGTTGGTAACTTTTGAGTCGACTCAAAAGCCGCCTCAGCCTCCATGAGGTTGGTGACTTTTGAGTCGACTCAAAGCCGCCTCAGCCTCCATGAGGTTGGTGACTTTTGAGTCGACTCAAAAGCCGCCTCAGCCTCCATGAGGGTGCCCTCCACTATGTTTTTGAGTCGACTCAAAAGCCACTATGTGGTGATCTGGGATGAGTTCTGAATGGTGGAAGGCAGGCACAGGGTAAGGGAAGCGGAGAGGAAGGGGCGAGGAGGAGAGATGGGTGGTGTTGAGCTTGGTGACCGTCTCGCCGTCCCCATCCACGGGTTCGTTTTGAGACGTCTCAAAACGAGATTACTGCGCCACTTGCCTCGTCCCCATCCGAGGCCTTGGTCGGCAAAAGATCGAGGACAGCAATGTAATTCTCTGGGGAGAATTGTGCGTGGTGGTGAAGGGCAGGCATGGGCAGGCCAGGCATGGGCAGGCGCGGGCGGGCACGGGCGACATTCCAACCAGCCCCATTCAATGCATGCTGTCCCACCGGCGCTCCACTCCCTACCACTTGCCCCTGCCACGCCCTCGCACAACAATCATGCATGTAACACACGTATCGTCCTCAAGCCCACCCACCTAGAATCAGTGCCAGCTTTGTTACCATCAATTCCAAGAGCTCTTGGGCCACACCTCTCAGCATACAGCCCCACCAACGCGCCTCCCCCCTTCCCTTCCTCCCTCCCCCTTTTCCCCTGCAACTCCCTCACACAGGCATGCTGTATCCCACAGAAAACCCTCAGCACAAGCACACCCACCTAGAATCACAGTCAGCTTCTTCATAATCGATTCCAGTAGCTCCTGAGCCGCCACCTGTGCCATCCCATTCGGAGCATGCAGCCCCACCACCGCCCCTCCCCCTCCCCCCGCTCCTCCCACCCCTCCCCCCCCAGCCGCTGCTGCGCGGTCCACAATGCCATGGGGGGTGGAGGAGCGAAGGGAGTAGGCAGAGGAGGCGCGGGAGCCAGAGGAGGAGGAGAAGGCGGAGTGGGAGGAGGGGGTGGAGGAGGCGGACTGGGGCGTGGAGGGAACCTGGGAGCGCTTGCTCACATGCTCCACTCGAGGACTGGGGGGGAGGGAAGGGAAGGGAAGGGGGGTTGGGAGGGTGGGGGAGAAAGATGCGGAAATAGGGGATAGGACACAGGGGGTTAGGAGAGGAGAATACGGGGGAAAGGAGAGGGGGAGAGAAGAGGGGGGGAGAAGCAACGGGGGACAGAAGTAGGCGTTGACATGAAGGAGACGTCTGAAAACAGCCAACACGCGTGCATTAGTAGGCCTATTCTTCTCAAGGCTCATCTAGCCACAGTTGCGCCTCTCACCCTCCATGCTGCCTCTGACTCACCGTGCGGCCTCTGCAGCTGTTGCAAACTCCTTAATCTCATTCAGCATGATCTCCCGCACCGACCCCCGCACACGCTGACTGCTCATGCACACACACACACACACACTCACACACACACGCACGCATGCACGCACGCACGCACACACACACACACACGCACGCACACACCCGCACACACACACGCATGACACACACAAACGCACACATCACACGCCCACAGGAAGCACATGATTTGGAAAGGGACGACAACTCAGAATTGGCATGGAGAGAGGTGGGGTTCGAGGTTAATGCTTTGTTTGAAGGCGTAGGGTTGGCAGGAGAGGTGGAATCCGCGGATAGGAAAACAGAAAAGTAAGCACGCGAGTGACTGCACATGTGTGTGTGTGGGTGGGGGTGGGGGGGGAGACTCTTATACATACACATATTACGCATGCTATGTGCTTGCGTACACGCTGCCCCATGAGTCCACCCACCTGAGCACGGCGCCTGCAGCAGCCACCTTTCCCAGCAGAGCCACACACTCCACCAGCGTCTGCATGTACTTATCATGCTCGGGTGCCTCCCGCTTTGTCAAAGATTCCTGCACTTGGAAGCATGGGTGCAGGCAGGTGCAGTGCATGGCACAGGGCTTATGCACACAGAGCGACATGCTTCAGCACAGTCTGCATGCACGAGTCATGCTCGGTTGCCTCCTGCTTGGTCAAAGACTCCTGAGTGGTGGCGGTGGTGGTGGAGTGGAGCATGGGAAGCATATTTCTGAGGCGCCTAACAAATAGCATGGGGAGCAGATGCTTGGATGCAGGCGAATGGGTGAATGCGGGAAAGCAGGCAGAGCAAACTCCACCAGCGTCTGGATGGACTTGTCGTGCTCCGGGCGGCGGGCCCTCCCGCTTGGTCAGCGATTCCTGCATGCATGCTGCAGAAGCAGGGAGTGAAGGATGGGATGGGTGAGATGGAATGGGATGGGTGCATGCTGCTACCGCTCACCACAAACTCGTTAGAGGTTGCTTCAGTAAGCCACTTGGGCGGCGGCACATGGTGCCTCCGCACCACCATCTCTCCCGGGCCTGACGCCCCCGCCGACGCCTCGCTGCGCGTGGGGGAGCTGACCGTGCCGTCGTCATCCTCACTCACAGCACTCCTGCAGGGGTGGGTGCGGGAAGGGAAGGGCGAATCACCAAGTCTGCAGCTAAAGAAGTACCTTCCCACAGCCTCACCACCATCTCTCTTGGCCCTGAAGTCCCCCCCCATGCCTCACTGCGTGTGGGCGAACTGACAGTGCCGTCTTCGTCCTCACTCTCACAGCACTCCTGCGAGGGAGGGGCAGGCGGGTGAGAGGAAGAGAACTGAAGGTCACAGTTGAAACCAGGCAGGCAGGCACTCTGTGGCACAAGTCCGCAATGACTTGAGCTCACACGGAGGGGTTGCAGCACACAGCACCGTCCTGTCTCCATTCTCGCTCACAGGACTCCTGCAGGGAGGTCTCGAGAGTTCTAGAAAACGCCCATGAAACTGCAGGGTGTTCTTGAGAATTTACAAAAACGCCCATGAAACTGCAGGGTGTTCTTGAGAATTTACAAAAACGCCCATGAAACTGCAGGGTGTTCTTGAGAATTTACAAAAACGCCCAGTCAGGGTTTACAGCACACAGCACAGTCTCACCGTCATCCTCGCTCACAACACTCCTGCAGGGAGTTCTTGATATCTCTAAGAAACGCCAGTGATTTTGCAGGGTGTTTTGGAGAGCCCTAAAAAACGCCCATCGGGGAGGGTTGACAACAGACAGCACACAGAACCGTCCCGCCCGCCGCCATCCTCTTCCTCACTCACAGATAGGCTTGAGCATGAACCCGACCCGACCCGACCCGACCCGACTTTGCCCTACCCGATGTCGGGGTCGGGTCGGGTCGGGTCGGGTCAAGTCGGGTCGGAGTTCAGGAAATGCCAACCCGACCCGAGTTTAGTAGGTCGGGTACTACTTGACCCGATTTCGGGTCGGGTCGGGTCGGGTTAACATAGGGGCAGGGACGGGTAATAAGCTGACCCGACGGGTCGGGTTTTGTCGGTCGGGTCGGGTCGGGTCGGGTCGGGTACCCGAGGGTCGGGTCGACCCTCCGCAAATGTCGACCCGACCCGTCAAAAAGTCGGGTTCGGGTCGGGTTACCCGACCCGACCCGACCCGTTGCTCAAGCCTACTCACAGACACTCCTGCGAGAACTGCAGCACGAGGCTATGGGCCTATGGCATACCATGCACGATACACCAGACGCGGACAGGTCACAGCAGCCCGCGGCTGAGATGTGACATGTTGCCAGAATGCGAGAGGGCGTGGAGGGGGCAGGCGGGGAGATGCCCTGGGCGGGAAAGGGCTTGTTCAAGACCAGCACAGCATCTACCCAAAACGCAGATCAGCTCCCATCCCTCACCCAGTCTTGACGTTCCTCTGTGGCCCTGGCACTGCAGCCGCAGGAGCGCGAGGGCTTGGACGGGGCGGGCGGCAAGACTCTTTAATTGGTGAACATGCATTAAATTCAACACCAATTCCTTAAATGCCTTACCCGGTTTCCACGCTCAAACCCCCTTTGGCTCTGGCGCTGCGGCCCCGGGAGCGAGAGGGCTTGGATGGGGCGGGCAGGGAGATGCCCTGGGCGGCAAGGGATGGATGCAGAGGGGCGGCGGGCGGCACGGCGACAGGCACGAGGTTGCTGATGTCATCGTCGTCGTCTGTAGCGGCCTCCTTCTTTGGGCTGAGGGTTGGAGTTGAGTGGGAGTGGAAGGCGGAGACGATGGGGAGGCAGAGAAGATGGGGAGGGGAGGACAAAAAGGGGAATTGACTGGGAGGGGAGATAGTAGGGTCAGGAGGAGGTTGTCAGAGAAGGGCGAACTTCACAGGAAGGACGGCAAAAGGTGATGGGGACACAGTAAAAGACATGCCTGTACTGCCCTGTGTTGCAGTGTGCGTGCGTGCACTGCTGCAGCCCCTCTATAATCTATTCCTCTATCACTCGGTTAAACAGCGAACCGCAGCAGCCTGTCTCCTGTATTTATCTACAAATGCAAGCTTGCACGTGTACAATAAATCAGTCGGCTGTACTGCCCCTTGTTGTAGACGTGTGCACGCAGGTGCAGTTCCTCTATCACTCGACTGAACAGCAGCAACTTGGTGTGCATGTTTGCACCATAACATGATGGTGAAACGTGCAATAAAACACGGACCTGTACTGCCCCTTGTTGTAGAGGTGTGCGTGCAGCTCCTCGATCACGCGGTTGAACAGCAGCAGCTTGGTGTTGGCCAGCTCGTTGCGGATGTCCCTCAGCGCGCCGATCTGCGCGGCGAGGCAAGGGAGATGGGGGGGGTTGGATGGGATGGGATGGGGCGATGGAGGCTAGGAAATGAGGGGCAGGACCACGGAGTGTTGAGCTTGGTGTTGGCCAGCTCGTCACTGCGGATGCCTCTCAGAGCGCCAATCTGAGTGGGTGGGTGGATGGGTGGGTGGGTGGGTGGGGGCAGGTGATGGAGTCGGTGGGAGATGAAGCGGCAGCAACAGATGGACGACTCAGCTTGGTGTTGGCCAATGGTCAGCTCGTTACGGATGTCCCTCAGAGCGCCGATCTGCACAAGGAGATGGCCACGGATGGGTGATGATGAGAAGAATCAGCATGAGAAAGACCCTGCAATGCAATGAAACGAATGGCGTGGGCGCGCTCTCGTGGCAGCACAGGTCAATCAATGCTCCTCTCCTCGTCCTATCATGGCACTGTCATGCGATGCAACTCATCATGTGAAGGATTCATGCCAGAAGGAAGGCTCCTGGCAGAAGGGAGGCTCCTGGCAGAAGGGACGCTCCTGCCAGTGAACCTTACCTGGCAGATGCCCTCACTGCGGTCCTCACCTGAGCGATGCCCTGTCTGCGGTTTCACCTGGGAGACGATCTCACTGTGAATTTCACCTAAGAGTTAAGCACTGTTGTTTTCACCTGGGAGATGCCCTCTCTGTCCAGGGTGGAGATGGACTGCAGGTGAATCTGCACGGCGGCGTACAGCTGCCCCTCCGCTACCAGCTGCTCTATGCGCGCTGGCACCTGCAAGGAGGAAGCGGGGGAGGGGGGAGACGCAGGAGGGGAAGGGGAGACGCGGGGGGGGAAGGGGAATGCAGGGTGCGGGAAGGGGAACGCAGAGGGGAAGGGGAACACAGGGGGGAAGGGGAACACAGGGGGGAAGGGGAACACAGGGGGAAAGGGGAACACAGGGGGGAAGGGGAACACAGGGGGAAAGGGGAACGCAGGGGGGAAGGGGAACACAGGGGGAAAGAGGAACGCAGGGGGGAAGGGGAACGCAGGGAAAAGCCAGAAGCACGTCACTGAGATCGCTGGGAGACGCTGCCGGTCTGGGGGAAGGAGATTGGGGGGCCGTTGGTGAGGATCTTACATTGTAGAAAGGGCACACGCACATCTCTCAGAAATGGGGGGCGGCTGGTCTGGACTCTGGATGATACATTGTAGAAAGGGCACAAGCACATCTCTCAGAAACTCGCCTTGGACACGCTGTCGATCTGGTCGATGAGGGAGATGACGTGGCGCAGCGTGATTGAGCGGCACCATAGCTGCTGCAGTTGCTTGTGGCGGTTACTAAGCAGGCGCCGCGCCTCTGCCAGGCTGGCTTTGAGCTCGCTCATCTGCTCTGCCGACTCGCTGAACAGCTTGAGGATCTGGATGGGATGGGGAAGGGTGGGGGAGGGGGTAGACAAGGACGGGGAGAGTAAGACCGGGAGGAAGTGAGGTATATATGGCTCGCCTTGAGCTCGCTCGCTCATCTGCTCCGCCGACTCGCTGAACAGCTTGAGGATCTGGATGGAATGGGGAAGGGTGGGGGAGGGGGTAGACAAGGACGGGGAGAGTAAGACCGGGAGGAAGTGAGGCATATATGGCTCGCCTTGAGCTCGCTCGCTCATCTGCTCCGCCGACTCGCTGAACAGCTTCAGGATCTGGGGGAGGGGGGGAAGAGGCGAGAGACATGGATGGGAGGGAAGACATGGCGCATACATAGAGATTGTTGGCCTTTTAAGGTGCCTCCGCCAGACTCGCCCTTGAGCTCGCTCCTCTGCTCCGCTGACTCGCTGAACAGCTTGAGGATCTGACGGGAGGGAGGGGGGGGGGGGGGGGGGGGGGGGATCGAAAGGAGGGCGCACGCACGGAGCATGGGTTTACGAATCATGAGTACAGACAGATAGCCACGACAAGACAGAGTGTCTCCGCCAGTCTCGCCTTGAGCTCGCTCATCTGCTCCGCTGACTCGCTGAACAGCTTGAGGATCTGGGGGAGGGGAAGGGGGTGTACAAACGTATGGTCCAGGGACAGTGGGGAAGAGAGACGTATGTTGAGATGGCATAGGCTGGCAGTGGGGACGTAGGCTGGCATTTAGCTCGTTCATATATATGTGTGTGTGTGTGTGTGTGTGTGTGTGTGTGTGTGTGTGTATGGACTCTCCTGACCTGCGAGTAGTTGTGGATGGCCTTATTGAATCCCTGGTGGTACGCCTGCACCACGTCGTCCACCAGCACCTCGATGGTGTCCCGCAGCTTCGCCAGGCTGCCCATGTCGTCCTGCGGGTACCCCGACGTCAGCACCGCCACCACGTGCGGCAGCGTGTCGAAGCGCGGCTCCTTCCACACGTCCTGGATTCCACTCAGTTGGTCCTCCACCGCCTGGGGGGGGGGGGGGGGGATCAGGGAAGAAAACCGGCGAGAAGTCAATGGAGCAAGGAACAAGGTGTGAACCGCGGCTCCTTCCACGCGTTCTGGATTCCACTCAGCCGGTCCGCCATGGCCTGGGGTGCGAAAGGGGTGGAGAAAGAGAGGGGGGAGAGGGTGGGTGGAGGCAGCTTTTGAATCGACTCAAAAGCCGCCATGGCCTGGGGTGCGAAAGGGGTGGAGAAAGAGGGGGGGGAGAGGGTGGGTGGAGGCAGAGGGAATGGAAACCACGTGCGGCAGCGTGCCGAGCAGCGGCTCCTTCCACATGCCCTGGATGCCGGACAGCTGGTCCTCCACCGCCAGGGAGAGAAGAGGGAGAGGGAAGGAAGGCGAATGAGACGACAAGAAGGGTAACAAGGCGTGTCGAACTGCGGGGTCGGAGTGGGGGGGGAGGAGGTGGGTGGAGGGGGGAATGAAAGCGAGAATGCGGCCCCTTCTGCCTGTCCCGGGGTGGGGGGGGGAAGGGGGGGATAGAAGAAGACGAAGAGGAGAAGTCATGAATGCCCCTCAGCTGAAACTCCACAGCGCGAGACGAAGCGCAATAACGCGAAATTGCTACACGAACGGAGCGGAAACGCGGAAACTTATGGAAAAAATGTTTAGCTGGTTGAGGCAGAAATAGCTGGCCATTGCAACTGCTGCCTGTTTTTTAGCACTGCAACGGGCTTCCTAGAAGCATGCTTGCCACTGTCATCGAAGCATTCCGTGCATCTCGGCACGACCGGAATACTCATTATCGCCTTATCGTAGTTACGAGCCCGCTTTTGAGTCGACTCAAAAGTTACAAGCGGCAAATCGTCGCGCTCGCGAAGATGGACGGAGACTGGACGAGAATAGATGGGAAAGGACGGAGACGCTACGAATCGTGCGTGGAATGTCACTGAGAAGTCTGAGCAATTTGATAGTAGAAAACGAGGTGAAATGAGAAATTTAGGTTAACCACGGTGCGATGAGGCTAGGCCACGGAGAAAAATAAAATCCTAAGCGGCCACATATCGTATCGCGGGGTACAAAAAGGAAGCGTTTTTTCCATGAGCAAGAAAGCAAGCTGGCATCTGAAACAAGCAAGGGTAGCACCCTAAGCAACGGTCGCTCACCCCCCAGTTCATCTCCTCCATCGGGTCCTCCATTGGTGCGTCAGTCGTCGCGTATAACCGCGATTGATTGAGAAACTATTATGGCGACTGACGAACGGACCACAATCTAGGGCTACTAAGCTACTAACAAAACTCGGTACTGAGACCACCAAGCAACAAGCTTTCACTTGTTAGGAAAGCACACCAGGGAAATCTCCGTGACTGGTGGTCTGCTGGGTGTGTCACAAAGGTTCAATTTATTACGGTTAAGTCAGCTGCTTTGCGGTCTAAAGCTTTTCGCCAAACGTCGAGAGACGAACTCGCACACCCCTTGAACTCGAAGGCCTTTCCCAAGCTTGGCTCGGTATTCTCAAGGTCAAGTGCCTCGCTGGTTACAGACGTTCGCGAAGTACATTCTCTACATTTGCTGGTTTCCTGCCTGAATTGGCTCCTGCGCTACTACGATTGACGAACGGTCAAACCAGTCCCTGCTGCGCCCTACTCAGCTGGTTCGTCACGACATGTTTCCACTTAGCATTTCAGGTTTGATTCTCCAAAATACTGTACTCAGGCTCAAGCTTGAACTTGTGACCTCTTTCTATGCTGAAATATTTCCGCCTGAAAGCACAACCTCGACCGTAGCTATCCGAAGAACACATCCTCCGCGTGTCATTTCGACATCAGATTCACAACAGCGAGCAAAGAGCTTCTCTGCTGAAGGGATTGGTTCGCACCAGTTTTGCCTAACAGGTCACGATGATCATTTCCACGCTTTCGCGATGAAACGTTGATTGGGTGGGTACGAGACTGCGAAATCTCTGGTACTAGTAGTTTTGAGTTGTCCGTAGGAACCGCACCCTTACCTCCACTGATTATGGCTGCTGCACGAGTCTCCCGTAGAGCATGGACTCACAGTCAGCAGGCGGTCGATCTCATACCTCGGCCTCTCGTTAGCATATGCCGAGAGCAAGTCGCGAAGCGTCTTCCCTGTGATCTGGTCGCCGAATTTTCTGTGGACGGCTCAGATCGTCTCTGTGCTCTTGGCCCTCAGCTTCCTCTCGCTGTCGATCTCGCCGCAGGAAGGTGGATCGGACGGTTTGAAGGATCTCTCGGCGCAGCTTCTCTCGGCGCAGCAACTCCAGGAGGAGCCAGGGATTCTTCAAACGAGCACTTGGGCGATGGAGCTTTCCATCATCGAGTCGAAAGGGATCGGGTCGAGGACGCAGTAGCAGCACCAGCTCGATCAGGCGAAGCGGTAGCTAGAATAGGAGCGGCATGCGTGCAAGATGGGGCATATGCTTGCATAGCCAGTAGATCTGCTCACCAAATGCAGCAAGAACAGTCATGGCCTCTCAAGACGGCTGGTTCGAGAGGCATCCATTGCATGATGTGGCAACAAAACTTGAGGCTCTCTTTTCCAGCAGAGCAACCATTCACCCATAACTGTAGGAATGCCCTTGACCTGCTGGCTTGGCGGAAAGGCCCTCCCCCTCTCCTGCATGTATGCCTTCAGCCTCGCCACCAGCGGTCCACGCAGGGTTCAGCGGAGGTACATGGAGGCAGCAGACGTTTGATATCCAGCCAGGCTGGCTCCGCTTCGCTGAAGGTGACAGAGTTACCGTTAGGGAGAGCGCAAGAGGAGAACAGAAAGGAGAAGAGGGGGGAAACAGGGGGGGAAGAGGAAGACGAGGGGACGGAGCAGAGAGAGGAAGACGCCAGAAGGAGAGGAGGGGAGAGAGAGGAGAGGGAGGAGGAATACGAGTCAACGGACGAGGAGAATCTGGGGTGGCGGTCGCACTGGGGGTTCAAGCTTATCATTGCCGCTACCATCGCTGGCGTCGCTATCAATGCGTTCCCGCTCATGGGTGAGAATCGCCGCCTTTGAGGTGCCTCGAAAGGTGTATTTTGAGTTGACTCAAGTTACACCGGGCGCACTGGGGTTCAAGCTCATTGTCGCCGCTACCATCGCTGGCGTTGTCGCCTTCAATGCGTTCCCACGCATGGGTGAGAGAGAGGTCGGCTCATGGGTGAGTGTCATCTCAGCTCATGGGTGAGTGTCATGTCATCTCAGCTCATGGGTGAGTGTCATCTCAGTTCATGGGTGAGTGTCATCTCGGCTCATGGGCGAGTGTCATCTCAGCACATGGGTGAGTGTCCTCTCAGCACATGGGCAAGTGTCATCTCAGCTCATGGGTGAGTGTCATCTCGTCTCGGCTCATGGGTGCGTGTCATCTCAGCTCGCCTCAGCTTATGGGTGTCATGTTTCTTGACCGCCTTCTGGTCTTTCCAGTGGTGAATTCTGGCCCCACTCCATCGTCCCCCATGCCCCACTCCATCGTCCCCCATGCCCCACTCCATCGACCCCATGCCCCACTCCATCGTCCCCCATGCCCCACTCCATCGTCCCCCATGCCGCACTCCATCGTCCCCCATGCCCCACTCCATCGTCCCCCATGCCCCACTCCCTCGTCCCCCATGCCCCACTCCATCGTCCCCCATGCCCCACTCCCTCGTCCCCCATGCCCCACTCCCTCGTCCCCCATGCCCCACTCCCCATGCGGCCAGGCGACTCGCTCATCCGCCACTCCACCGCCCTGCTGAGGGCCAAGGACCCTTTCCTCAGGCGAGCAGGGGCGTACCGCCTCGCCTTCATCGCCTCCAATGGTGAGCTTCGCCTGACCTAAAGGCCGAGACTCTACGGCGTCCTATTGGACGCGTTTTTTTTCCAGGAGCAAGTTGTTGTGTATCAGTCCTTAAGTTGTTGTCCTTTTGAGCGTTTTCCTAACTTCAGGATTTCAGCTCTTCCGTCTTGATTCAATTGAATTCCAGAATTTCGATCGTATACTTCCCAAACTCTTGGCATCCGCAACTCATTGTTGACTCAGTTGTTTCTATCTTTCCCTTCCGTTCTCTCCCCCAGATGAAACCCGCATGAAGATCATCGATGCCGGAGCCCTTCCCCACCTCCTCCTCCTCCTCGACTCCCCCTCCCACCACTCCAGAGCTGCCCCTCCTCTCTCCCCCCTTCCTCTCTCTCCGTCTGAGAACCACACTCTCAAGGAAGCACTCAACTGCCTCGCGTCTTTGGCTGTTTCAGGTACGCTATAAGGGTGTCTCGGGAGTCTCAACCCATCCCCCTTTCCCCTCTCCGGAGCTGCTCCTCATCTCTCCCCCTCATCTCTCCCCCTCATCTCTCCCCCTCATCTCTCCCCCTCATCTCTCCCCCTCACCTCTCCCCCTCATCATCTCCCCCTCATCATCTCCCCCTCATCTCTCCCCCTCATCTCTCCCCCTCATCTCTCCCCCTCATCTCTCCCCCTCATCTCTCCCCCTCATCTCTCCCCCTCATCTCTCCCCCTCATCTCTCCCCCTCATCTCTCCCCCTCATCTCTCCCCCTCATCTCTCCCCCTCATCTCTCCCCCTCATCATCTCCCCCTCATCATCTCCCCCTCATCTCTCCCCCTCATCTCTCCCCCTCATCTCTCCCCCTCACATCTCCCCCCTTACTTTCTCTCACTCTCTGAGAGGCACACTCTCAAGGAAGCACTCACCTGCCCCACACACCTCACTGTTTCAGGCACCCCGTACGCGTGCCGCAACCCATCCGCTTTCCAGCTATCCTTAACGGTTCCTCATCCCTCCCCGCTTCCTCTCTCTCCTCCTGAGAAGCACACAGTGGAGCAAGCACACCCGCCCGTCTCATGCACCCCTTTCACTGACTCCTGTACTGCTCTTTCCTTGGATCTGTCTCTTTTTGGGAACCACTCCTTTACGCAAGCACCAAACTGCCTCGTGCACGTCGCTGTTAAGGTATTCTGGATGGTGATTTTCCCTGAGATGGAAAAGTTGAAGTGAAGCACATTGCATGTGCAATAATGCTGCTGAGTGGTGGATACTTTGTTCCAGTTGACTCTCATTGACGTCACTCAGAACTCATCCATTCACTTGGGGATGTTTTTGCTTTGACCACCCACCCAGCACTGCCATTCATCCCCTCTGCCTCCTCCACTCGCCCTGACTCTCATTCGATCAGTCCACGCACAAGGGGCGCTATGGGGACATTGTGAACTTAACCAGTTGATGCTTAGGCTTGAACCTATTTCTGCCTGCCTAGTTTTGTTCTTCGATCATGGATGAAATATGTGCATCGCTACTTAAGTTTGTTCTTTCCATGAGTCAACTTTCTGGCTTCACCCTCCTCCTCTCATTCCCATGATCCAGACACAGCAGCACATGCCATGGTTGCAGGTGGCGCTGTGGCAAGACTGCAGCAGGCAGCAGTGTGGATCAGCCAACTACCAGGCGATCACCGGGATGAGCTCCTAGGCCCACTGGATGCCCTTGTTGTGCGCCTTGCATCTGTCCACCGAACTAGAAGCAGTTAGAGTGTATTGTACTCTACAAAGCGGCATTCACCATGGTTGTGGCGGGCATATTTCCAGGGAATTACCGTATTGATCGCACACCATAGGCGCTCTAGAAAAGCCTCTTGAAGAATCATAGCTGCGACAGGTGTTGCATCGTGGTCTATCACAATGCAACTTCATGCGCCAGGCATTTGATGCCAAATCTATTTACGACCAAAATTAAACATTGCAAGTTCAATTTCTCAGAGAGGAATTGTTAGCTAGAATGTCAAGCATATTTGCATATGTTATGGTAGACTAGATAGGGACATACCTTAGAGAGTACAACCCCCCCTTTGGTATATCATCCCTGTACTCTCATTTTCTAACATACTTTTATCCATTTAACATGGTAACACCTTAGGTAGGCCCGCCCGCCGAATCCGCCCCCCCCCCCCTAGCACATCGCGCCCCGCTGGCTCCTCGCTTCCTGCTAGCTCACCTCGCGCTCCCCTCTAGGCCCTAGGCCCTTCGTGCCCCGCTGGCCCATCGCGCGCCCCTCTGGCCCTTTGTGCCTCGCTAGTCTATCGCGCCCCCACTGGTCCGTCGAGCCCCCCCGCTAGCCCATTCGCGCCCCTTCTGGCCCGTCGCGCTCCTCAGGCCTTTCGTGCCCTGCTGGCACATAGCGCGCCCCTCTGGCCCTTCGTGCCCCGTTAGACCATCGCGCGCCCCTCTGGCCACTTGAGCCCCGCTGGCCCATAGCGCCCTGCCTGCCGTCTTCGAGCCCAGCAGGCCCAGTCGCGCCTCTCTGCCCGTTTCGAGCCCAGCTGGCTCCTAACGCCTCGCCAGCCTGCTTCGCGCTCAGCGGGCCCATCACGCCTCGCCAGCCGCTCTCGAGCACAGCCGGCCTCTGCTACAGCCGGCCGCTGCCCAGGTCGGCCCCTGCTCCAGCCGGCCCTGCTCCAGCCGGCCCTGCTCCATCCGGCCCTGCTCCAGCCGGCCCCTGCTTCAGCCGGCTCTGCTCCAACCGGCCCTGCTCCTGCCGGCCCTGCTTCAACCGGTCCGGCTCCAGCCGGCCCCTGCCCCGGTCGGCCCCTGCTCCAGCCAGCCCTGCTCCAACCGGCCCTGCTCCAGCCGGCCCTTCCCCAGCCGGCCCTGCCCTAGCCGGCCCTGCTCCAGCCGGCCCCTGCTTCAGCTGGCTCTGCTCCAACCGGCCCTGCTCCTGCCGGCCCTGCTTCAACCGGCTCGGCTCCAGCCAGCCCCTGCCCTGGTCGGCCCCTGCTCCAGCCGGCCCCTGCTCCAGCCGGCCCTGCTCCAGCCTGCCCCTGCTCCAGCCGGCCCCCAGCCTTTCCTCTCCATCGCTCCTCACCTTCCTCCACCTTTTCCCGCCGCTCCCCGCTGCTTTCCACCGTTCCTCACTGCTCTCCACCGCTCCCCACTGCTCCCTACCGCTCTCCACCGCCCTCCATTGCTATCTACCACCCTTCACCGCCCCCCACCGCTCCTCACCGCTGCTTACCGCCCTCCGCCGCTCCCCACCGCCCAACACCGCCCAACACCGCCCTGTACCGCCCTTCACTGCCAGTCAGCTGCTGCAGCTGCTGTGATGGCGGAGTGGGTGTTGCACCTGGACGCGGATGGGCAGGCGGTTCATTTCGAGGCGTGGCTTGTCGACCTCCGTCGTTACCTCACAGGTCAGAGGCAGGACGGTCACTCTCTGGTCGAACATGTTGACGGTAAACTCCCCTGTCCTGATCCGCCTGCTCCCCTCCCCGCTGAGTCTACGTCTGCTGACCGCCAGTCCTTTGCCGCTGCTGCGCTTGCACGTGATGTCTGGCAGTCGCGTGATGCCGTCGCGCAGCTCGCTATCAGTCATGCCCTTCCCATGTCCGAGCGTTCCCGCTTTACGTCAGTCCCGACTGCTCAGGAGCTCTTAGAGGCTGTTGTCGCACGCTACTCCACCCCTTCCTTTGCCTCTGCCGGCCACTTGATCCTCCCCATGCTCTTCCCTGACCTCGCGTCCTTTCCCACCGTCGCTGACCTAGCCACTCACCTGCGCGCCCTAGAAGCGAGTTGGCGCGCTGCCTGCACTGAGGCACAGCTTGCTGTGTTCCCGCCCCCCCTTCCCATTACCCTTTACCTCTTGGCCACTCGCCCCCCTGACCGCCTTGCGACCGCCCGCGACCATTTTTTGAGTCTTCACCCCGCTGACCTCACCCTCTCTGACTTTGTCACCACCCTGACTGCGATAGAGATTCGACAGCACACTATCGCCCAGTTTAGCGGCACTGCGTTGGTCCCTATCTTTCAGGGTTGTGCTCCCTCTCCGTGCACTTACTCTGACAGTTCAGCGGCTGTCGCCGAGACAGCCGCTGCTGCTGCTGCGACCGCCGCCGCGGCGGCTGCAGTGCAGTACCGTCCGGGTAAGGACCTCCACCCCAAAGGGCGGCGCGGCGGGGGTAGGGGGAGAGGGGGTGGAGGCGGTGGTGGCGGTGGTTTGTCAGCGCGTAGTACTGACGAGGGGACCGGGGCTGGTGCCCCGGAGCAGCAGCCACAGCATCAGCAGCAGCAGCAGCAGCAGCAGCAGCAGCGGCAGCAGCCGCAGCCGCAGCGGACATTGGGTCGCCTCCCCCCGGGATGGCCTGGCGCCAGTAGAGGTGGTAGCCGAGGTGGCAGTGCGCGCGGCTCAGTGTCGAGTGGTGGCGTTGGTGTCGGGCCCTGCCAGTACCAGCTTCAGACCGGTCCTCGCCGCGGCTCCGTGTGCGGTAAGGTCGGACACACTACCGCTCGTTGTTTTCGTCGCCTGGACGACTTGTTCCGCTTTCGCTTCGGCCCCGAGCCGGACCTCCCCGACTGGCACAGCCTGCTCTGCCATCACCTGCAGATTTTCGACATGGATATGGATCAGATTAGTTCTGCCTTGTACCATAATCTCCCGGATATAGGCGCATAGGGGCTTATAGGAAATACCAAACAAAATTGGCATGCGCTTGTAATCGAAGAAACTTGATAAGCCCAGGGCTTATGAAAATGATTTTATGGAAAAATGATTCAAGCACGTGAAAATGTAGTTCTTGAAATTTGGGTTCTAGCGCGTGACTTTCCAAAGGGCAGCATGTTGACAAAAACGCGATAAGTTTGATATTTCGAACCAATCAGAGCCAACATAGTGAGCGAGATTCGAGCTTCTTGTCCAGGATGGCGCTCGGGAGGGGCACGGCAGAAACTCTGATACAGTATATATATCCCCCTCTTTAATATTACGTTTTTACAAAAATGTGATGCGCCAATAGCAAATACATTTTCAAAAATATGGGTGCGCTTATAGTAACATAACGGATATAAGCGCACTTGCACTCCATAAGCGCAATGGGCCAAATAAAGGGATGCGCCTATATCCGGGGAATTACGGTATGTCATGTACGTCGATGACTCTAGTGTGATTGACTCTTATTACCTTGTGTTGCTTAGTATAGGTGTGTCCAGAGTGTGTAGCCTAGGCTCCCCTGCTGCGCCAGGCGTAGGATCGCCTGCCCTGTCTAGCCTAGGTTCCACGCTAGCCCCTCCGTCGGCGGTTACTACTGCTTCACTCTCCTTCACGCTCTACTTATTGTTTGACCACACTGACCTTATTCTGCTTGCCGCTCCAGCCGCTGTCGCACTTGCTGACCCCTCCTCCGGCCAGGTAGCTGCACGTAGCTCCACCACTCTTCCCTGTCCGGCGGTCCCCTTGGGCCCTCTTACAGGCCTGCACATCCTTTCGTTCTCCAGGAACCTAGTTGGTGTTGGCTGTCTTCAGGACCTCGGCGTCACCACTACGTTATCTGGTCACAAGCGGTACGCGGTCTATACCGACGCCGCCACAGGTGCCCCCCTCACCACGTTCCTTTGTGACCCGATGTCCGGCCTTTTCACGCTAGACACCGTTTCCCAGGGTTCACGCTAGACCAAATGGGAGCACCTCCGAAGGTGCCTGCGTCTACTCAGGTCGTTGAGGCTTGCTCGTGTTGGTCGCTCACTCACTCGTCTTTGCTGTGGCACCACCGCTTAGGTCACCCCGCCCTCCCTCGCCTTCGTCACATGTCCCAGCACGGTCTTTTCCTAGGTCTCCCAGCGTCGCTCCCTGCGCTTCCTCCCTCGCCCACCACGCGGTGCACGCCCTGCGTCGAGGGCCGGCTTCGCCGTGCTCCTCACTCCTCCTCCTTCCCCCCCACCACCGCAACACTGCAGACCCTACACATAGACGTTTGGGGCCCTGCCCTTGTCCATGGCCCGCGTCGCGAGCGCAACTTTCTAGTGCTTGTCGACGACTACACGCTCTACTCCATGGTTTTTCCCCGTGAGCGAAAGGCCGACGTGATTGCCGTTCTTATCCCGTGGCTTGTCGCTGCGCGTGTCCACCGAGGTCTCCCTGTGCTGCGCCTTTACTCCGACCACCGCGGTGAGTTTGCCTCTGATTCCCTTGGTCAGTTCTGTAGTGCGGAGGGCATCTCCAATACGTACATGCTGCCAAACTCCCCGCAGCAGAATGGGGTCGCGAAGCGGCGCATCGGTCTGGTCATGGAGGTGGCCCGTACCCCCATTATCCATGCCGGTGCACCCCATTTTCTGTGGCCGTTCGCTGTACGCAACGCTGCTCACCAGTTTAACCCGAGGCCGCACTCTCAGCGGCCACAAGTTTCGCCGACCCTTCTCGGGACCGGGTCCCCTGGCGACGCGCGTGCGTTCCACGTTGTGACTGCCTTGCTTACGTTCGTCCCTCTGGCCCGAACAAGCTCATAGCCCGCAGTGTCCCCTATGTCTTCCTTGGTTTTCCTCTAGACGCGCCTGACTGGCACTTATGTCGTCTCAGTGTTTGTTTCACTCGCGTGATATCACCTTCAATGAGTCTGTCTCCTTCTACCACCGCTTTCCCCACCGTGGTTCCTCGGTTACACTCCCCCCTGTTTCAGATCCACACTCCCCAGTAGCCCCTTCTCCTCTCCCTCCCCATCCTGCCCCGTCAGGTGTGTCTCACGTCACTCCCCTCCCATCGGTTCTCCCGGTTGAGGAGTCTGCTGATTCTCGTGGCTCGGCGGCGTCTCATTCAATTCATGTTTTTGTCCCGATGCCCCCCGCTTCGCCGCCGCTGTCTTCGTCGATGCCGCCGTCATCGTCGCCGCGAATGTTGACGTGGAGCAGAGGCAACAGCAGCTGCCGCCGGTGTCCGCTCTTTGCCTCCTCGGTCTTCCTTCCCCCGACCAACCACCCCCGCCTCCCTCTCCGCCACCACCACCGCCGCCTCCCTTCCCCCATCGCTTGTTGTCGCCTCGCCTCCTTTCTCGAACTTCCTCCGTGCCGTGCGTCCTCTTGTCCCTCGTGTCCTCGCCTCTCTTGTAACCGACCTGTCCGTTCCTGTCTCGAGCATGTCGGCTCTTGTCACTGCTGTCACTGACTTCACCGCTACCCGCCGCCTTAAGTACGCTACTGCTCTGATTTCTGACCCTGCCTGCCCTGCGTCCGTCAAGGGTGCTCCTGCCCTTGGCAGTGACGTCCTAGAGGACAGGCAGTACGAGCTATTTTTCCTATCCAAGGCCACCCCCCATCTCTGTTCTATACTGCTAGTCCCTGAGGAGGACCCTGGGCCTCTCAGTGGATAGCTGCCATGGAGCAGGAGATGTCATCTTGGAGATCCACCGGTACCTTCGTCGACGCAGTTCCCCCACCTGGGGTGAACGTAGTCGATGGCCGCTGGCTCTTCAAGGTGAAGCCCCCTCCTGGAAAGTTGCCTGTCCTCAAGGCGTGCTACGTTGCTCATGGCTTCAGTCAGCGAGAGGGGGTTGACTTGTTTCATACCTTTGCCCCGACCCCGAAGATGACTACCATTCGAGCACTGCTATACTTAGCAGCACAACGCGACTACGAGCTGCACTCCCTCGATATCTCCACAGCGTTCCTCCAGGGCAGTCTACACGAGCAGGTCTACCTGCGCCACCCGCCGGGAATCTGTGGTACCTTCCCCATTAGCACTGAGTGGCCCCTCCGGCGCCCTGTCTAGGCCTGCGCAAGGTGCCCCGTGAGTGGCACAACACGCTGCGTGCTACACTTGCTGACCTGCAGTTCTTTCCGTCGTCTGCAGATCCCTCGCTCTTTGTACGTGCTAGCCCCTTGTTTACGTAGACTACATGGTCTTTGCGATTGCAGACATAGACACGCTGGCCTCCGTGAAGGCCAAGCTGCCGAGGAGACACACCTGCACTGACCTAGGAGAGCTGCGCTGTTACCTTGGCCTGCAGATCTCCAGGGATAGAGCAATACGCACCATCACTCTCACACAGCCACACTTGGTGCGCCAGGTCCTTTAGAGGTTCGGCCTTTAGTTCTCTTCAGCTCGGCCCACCCCTCTCACAGTAGACCACATACTCTCTGCTCTAGTTCCTGAGGAGTCTATTGAGTCCAGTGGCCCTTACGCAGAGCTGGTGGGTTGCCTCTTGTACTTGATGACTTGCACTCATCCAGATCTCGCATACCCTTTCAGCATCCTGGCTCGCTTTGTGGCCACCGGCAGACACCGACCGGACCACTGGTCGGCAGCTAAGAGGGTTTTGCGTTATCTAGCAAGTACATCAGGCATGGGGCTAGTGCTAGGAGGACGCAGACCAGTGGTCCTTAACGGACACACAGACGCTCCTAAGGCCGACGACGCTAGACTCTCAGGTCCTCCCAGGGCTACTACTTTAGCCTTGGTGCAGGTGCTGTCTTGTGGAGGTCCACTCGCTCTTCGTCTATTGCCCAGTCTAGCTGTGAGGTTGAGATCTACGCCGGTGCCATAGTGGCACAGGAGCTCTGCTGGCTGACTTTCTTGCTGACAGACTTAGATGAGCGGCTTAGCTCTGCCCCGATCCTGTATGCAGGGCCATGATACTCCTCTTGATTGTATACTACTCTTATTATATTATCTTGACTGGCCTTATGGCCTCTTCCCCAATGGTTGGACTTGTAGAGCCACCCTAGTTTGTTCTTGTCTTGTTTGTACTCTCCCGACTGGTCTTCGGACCCTTGCCTCAGAGGTTGGACTAGTAGTGCCACCCTGAGTTGAATGTCTCTTGTTAGGCATCGCCCCGTATCCAGTGTAGGGGGTGTGTCAAACATATTTGTATATCTTATGGTAGACTAGATAGGGACATACCTTAGAGAGTACTCTCATTTTGCAACATACTTTTATCCATTTAACATAGAATATGTGATACAGTATGGTTTTATCTAAGGGGTTGTACTCTCCAAAAGTATGCACTTATCTAGCCTAAAGTAACATAGACATATATGCTTGGAACACCCCCTAGGAGACCCTCTGATTGATCACCGTCGATCTCAAAAAACACCCTGAAATTCAGTTTTTAGTAGTGGTTTTCTTACTTGTTGGCCCTGGTTTTTTCGTTTTCAAGGTTGGTTCATTAGAGTTTGGTACAAGAGGACACCCTGGAAAAAAAAATCCGCGTAAAAAACCTGATAACTATGGGCTTGCTCCCTAGGCTAGTCAAGGGGCAGTGCCTGGCAAGAGACACGCAGCTCAGGGTGGCACTACTAGTCCAACCTCTGAGGCAAGGGTCCGGAGACCCGTCAGTAAGAGTAAAAAGTACAAGAGTAACCCAAGGCGGCACTACTGTTAGAGTAGCAGGAAAAGTGTCGAGGGATACAAAACTAGGGCTCTACTCACTAAGAACTAAACTAGCTAGGCTATAAAAAAATAGGACCTAGCTAGTCGATATAAATATATTTGTTGACAACTACTAGTCCACCCATTGGACTAGGAGCCACAAGGCCAATCAAGGTAATCTAAGAGATAGTAAACAATCAAGGTCGTAACAAGTGAGAAGCTACTTGAACTAGACCAAGCTGTACACACCGCCGTGGATGATCGATCTTTAGGCGCAAGCGCCTTCGTAAAGATATCAGCCTTGTTGGCACCGGACTCCAAATGTACTACGTGGGCTTGGCGGCGCTGCTATAGCTCGCACAGGAGGAAGTACAGCAAGCTGGATGTGCTTCGTTCTTCCCTCCAGTCGAGGCTCCTGACAC